CAGACAAGATCTCATCATAGCTACAAAATACAGACTTGGGAATACTTAAGATCCGGATTCAGATCGTAGCTCTGCCATTTATTTATTTATTTCAGTAAGGTTTTGAATAAGCCACTTCACCCTTTCTGAGTCTCAGCTTCCTTTTCAGTAAAATGGGTCTTATAATGCTGAGCTTGCTGGAAGGCATTGTGTGTAATCACTCACACTGCACCTGGCACATGAAAATAATGGTCTTGCAGCTGCAGGTGTGACTGTGACTAACAACACAGGTACCTCCAGCAGCGCCTCCTTGCAGAAAGGGACAGGTGGATTCCTGTGATTCTCACGACTGTGTCCAGAGAGGTCTTTTAGAGAGGTCAGAGCTGTACTCAAGGCACTGGCTATGCAGCAGAGCTTTCGCAACACCTGTGAAGTTGGAATAATAACCTTGTCATTCAGTTGCTACAGAAAAGCTTAATGTGATGGAAATAATGACTATTTGCCAGAACTCAGGCTGGGCTACAAGGGATCCTGGTGTATTCATGGAACCTGGTGTATTAGTGTGTTTAAAGCAGAGAACCTGGGCCAGTTCTGAGGTCTGTCTAGAGCTGTCCTAGTGAAGGGCTAGGCTGATTCCATGCCCCAGAGCACCCCCTCCCTCTGGGCATCCTTACTGCTCTTCCAGAGGCTGGAGGAGCCCTTTGCTAAGCTGCCTTTTCAGCCAATGGTTTGTACCTATACTTGGCCACAAGATGTCACTCAAGGAACAGCAAAGCAGGGCCCTGGGAGGAAGTTGGCCAACCCAGAAACCAATCCAGGGAACAGTAGATTCTAGAAAAGCACCTGTGCAAGGCAGGTGGCACCCTGAAATGAGGTTAAATCTGAGGATTTCCAAAAGAACAGCACATAGGTTTGTAGATGCCACCTCAAATAATAAAAAGGATGAGAATGATTACTTCCCCCAATAGGAGGAAACTGCCCTCAGACAAGGGGGTGCAAACTGCAAAGGGACAAGCATACTTGGGTGGGATCAGGGAGTCAGCCCGGCAGGATGAGGTATCCTCCTGGCTGTCCTGAGCCTAGTCGGCTGCAAGTAGACAGGAGAGGCTACAGGGTGTGGCATGTCATCTGCCCCATGCGTTGGTCTCAGCCTTCCTCCTCCGGGTTGTTCGCTCCCACGTGGTCCAGCAGCACCCACGCGTGGCAGCCCACAGGGCGCCTGGATCCCAAAGGGGAGGAGGGCAGGAAGGTCACCCACCCCGCGACCCGCTGGGGTCCGCGGCAGGAGCCGGCCACTCCCCCATGTGCCCCCGAATTCCCAGACCCGGTGGCGGCCGAGGTGCCCATGGACCTCCGGGGTTCTGGGCGCGGTGGAGCCTTCTTGCGGGCCGAGACTTGGTGCTCGGTAGTGCCTCCACCAGCCACACCAGCACGGCGAGGGCAGGGGCTGTGGGCTTGGTGAACTTCCGAGCCCCGGCTCGGGGAGGTACAGGAGGGAAAGTCCCTCACTTGGCAGGAGCCGAATTAGGAAGGAAGGCAAGAATACTGGCACTGAGGAGTTCCTCCAGCTACCCATCACCCCCATCAGCAAACATTTGGGGCACCTGCCATTTGGAGACAGGAGAGCTCATGTTCCAGGGGTATCACTGTCGTGTAGAGGGATAGGTTGGGGGGCAGAGGGGGTCATGCCTCAATGAGGAGGGTAGGAAAAGGGTCATCTGGGGAATGTCCTCCAGGAAGGGCCACGTGGGGCAGAGTAGGGGTGGTCATATCAGAGACATGAGCAAAGGCCTAGCTGCACTTTGGTTAGAGGTGACAAGTTTTGAGGGGCTTGGATGGAATTGGAGGGGGTGTACTGTAAAGGTAGGCTGGAACCCAAACAGAAAAGATTTCAGGCAGAAGAGAAATCTGATCAGACTTCATTTCTCAGGGCACCTAGGAGGGGCTCGAGGGAGGCCTGGAAATGGCAGGGCACTGTGTGCAGCAGAGGCAGGTTCAGGAGAGGTTTCCTCAGGAAATTTGGGTGGAATAAGGGGGCAGCCAAGAAGAGAGGCTAAAACAGGGCAAGCCGGCGCTGAGGAGGGATGAGTAGGGAACTTCCGGATTAAAGTTTCAAAACCAGGACAGGCATTTCATGATTCCTATTCATGGCCACGGATCATAATGGAACTTAAGCTCTCAGCTGAATCTTTCAATTAAAAATAGATTCTCTGAGTGATGTCTCTGTGCACGGGTGCTGGTGTTCCTGGGCCACCAGAGCAGAGCCAGTGCTGGCTGCCTTCAACCAGGGTGTTGTTGGCCTTTGTCTGAAGGGTGTCTTTCCAGGATTTCCCAGCCTGAGCTGTCTATATGCTAGGTTGGAAAGACTCTTGGCACCTAAAATTTCTGTTCATTGGAAAGACTCAAGTTCCCTTGGAGTCAGCTCAGTGGAGAGCATTTCCTATCCAGGAGTCCAAGCACCCCTTATTCCTGGCAGTCTCTGGTAACTTCTTGTCAGTTACGTGCCCTCAGTTAAGTGCCAGCAGCACAGGAGTAATAGTTCAAGATTTGATACACGTGACAAAACGAGAGACTGCATGGGACCCATGAGGCCAGAGAGCCAAAATCAATAAACACTCTTCCCAGAGGCTGTCACTTGCTTTAGGTCTGGTTCTTGGCAGAGATCAGATGAGACCCACCTTCCAGTTCCTGAGCCTGGCACATGCATGTCCACTTGAAACCCTTGGCTTTTCAGTTAATGAAAAGAAAGTCCTTGTCCAGGGAGGGGCAAGACCTCTTTAGGTTTGTTGGTGTGGTCCTATCTTGCTGTGGAGGTTTGTTGGACATTGCTGGCTGCACTGTGCCAGTCGGATGGCCCTCACCCCCTCCCTCTCACCCTTTACTGCACAATTGCCTCCTCTGGCATGGTTGACTTGAAGCTCCCACCCATCCAAGCAGCAGAGGTGGCCTCACCTATCACCATCACAGCCACAAGAGAAGGAAAACAGGGTCACCAGAGGTTAAGATGTAAGGTGGGCCAGAGGAAAGAAAATAAATCCAGGAGTGGGAGTGCCCGTACTGACTGGGGAGCTGGCAGCTATGACCTGTTTCCAGTAGGGCAGGCTGGCTGCACTGGGGGGAGGCTAGGGACTGCGCTACTGGTGTTGCTGTTAAACAGGGGACATAGGTTTCAAATGGACACAAGACACAATTGAAACAGACATTTTAAAAGCATACAGTGGAAAATGAGACAAAAAGATGAAACAAATTTGTGTATATCATTGACTACAATCCTCCTGGGATGTGTAGTGACTTGAGGTTAAGAGACAGCATTACATAACTCAGGGATTGTGAATGAAGAAAACATGTGGACTTAAGCATGTGAAGAGACATCTTTAGAGGGTTACTGGACTGGCAGCAGGCAAGAGTCCTCGTCCCTTGTAAGGGTCGACTCCCATTCATATGAATGTTCCTGGTGGGATGTGGAGCCAGGTGTTTGTGTGGATTCTGTAATGAATCCCAAATTTTCCTGAGTATGAGTCAGCTGGAGGCCCTTACCAGAAATGCAGATTCCTGGGTTCTTCCCCAGAAATTGATATATGGTTATGGGAGCACAGGCATGCAGCTCTATGAATAATAGTCCCAGGTGGCCATACAGGTGGGAAGACAGTGGCCCTTTCTTTATGAATGCTGGCTCTCCTGGGATTCTCACTCATCTGAGTGTAAGAGTCACCTGGAGGACTTGTTTTAAAGATTCCTGGTGCCACTGCCTATGGATTCCAATATAAGCCAACAAGCACACCAGGAAAGTCTTAACAGGAAGTCTAAGAGACAACGGTAGAGTTCCCTAGTGCGCTGAAAAAAAAAAATGGACTAATTCCTGGGTCCTACCCCAAAATATTATAATTCATTTAGTCACGGAGGGTCAGGTCAGCAGCAGTGTCTGTCAACAGCCCTGGTTACAAAAGTTTTATCAAAACTACCAATTATGGGGGTAAGGAAAGCAGATGAGAAAATATCTATTTTAAAAAATAATATTGGATACTCTTCGAGAGAGTATAAGATTTCATGCAGTTAGCCAGCAATATGCTGATTTCTGTACAATTAACAAAAATAAAATTACCATGGCTTCATTTTCATTGTCTACAGCAGATCCAGGGACTCAGAATTGAGCTTTTTCCATTTTAGCACAAAATGTGGAAGACATTTTTTGGGTCCCCACAACCAGAGATTTTCCAGCCAATATGGTTTTTTGGTCAATGTTTTCTGAAGTATGAGGACTGCATTTCACTACCCTACGCAGATAGAAAGGACTCTACCGAGGCATAAGCTCTTCATGTAATTATTTAGGCAGGGGTCACATTTATAGCTTCAGATCTAGTTTGGCTTTCCAGGGTCATCTTCAGGGCAGAGCAGCACCTCAGGCAGGCAGGAGGAGCTGGCTCAGTGTCTTTTGGAGAAAAGTTACAGCGCCACTTATCTAGAGAGAGGGTTGAGTGGACAAACCTAACAAGACATAGGCAGCTCCAAGTTGGGAAGTTGAATTCTACTTTCAACTTCAGATAAGTCCTCCCACCTACTTTAATACTGAATCAAATGAATGAAAACCAACCCCAAAGCCAGCTTTCAAATGCTTCCTTCTAAATGAAGTGCAGTCCACATGGAGAAAGCACCTGCCCACCAGTGAGGAGACTCAGAGGAGCGGGCCTATGTAAGCTGGGGCTCCTGTCTAGTAGTAGCCACCCTCTGCTGAAAGGGTTGTACAGGCTTCTGTACATATTGTACAACACTTCCATATTCAGAACTATTGCTGAGGAACAGCTACAAATGTCAGACAGAAGTGTGCAGAAACAGCGGCTGTTCACCATCTCTCAGCGCTGCTGGGCCACTTGGATTCCTTCCCGTCCCATGTGGACAAGTATCCTCGGATGTTCAGATGAAAAGGACAGTGTGAATCCATGGAGAACATCAATCATATTCGAAAAGCCAAATAAAGTTTCAGAAATGCTTCTGAATACAAAATAGATGATGGAAACATGAAGGCCAGTGAATGAAACTGCTCTCCCTTTTAATCAGTTTTACAGATTGACGCCATACAGCAGTAATCACATTGGGAGACAGGATGGGCTTCTTGTTCATATACAAGATTGTGCAAGCTCATGGACTGAGGCTTCAAGGTGTTACCAGTTTTGAGACAGGAGGCAGTACAAAGCTTTTTAGTACAGGGGAAGCACAGGAGGAGACGGTAGACAAGACGATTACCTTGGCAGAGGCGAGTTAAGGTGAGAGGCCAGTGCTGCTGGGCCTTCCTCTATCCTGAGCTCTGGCGGTGGCTCGTGCTGCTCCACAGGACTCTGCAGCTCAACCACAGCTCTCCTGCTGCAGCAGATCTACCTTCATGTCTCCAAGTGTTCTCATGAGTAATAGAGCTATTCTTGGTCATCCTGCTTCTTGGTAACCTACATTCTAACATACATTAAGTCATTAAGTAATTACTAATCTGGCAAATCTTTCAAGAATTTTGGCATTCAGAACATCTCAAATACCCCATTACTGTTAATCCACTTACTAAAACTGTTTTTGAGTTTCAAGAAGACGGTTTCTGACCCCTCCCCCCCATTATAACAATTACATATAGACTCAACTAAAGGGAGGGAAAACAGATTTTTCTTCAAAGGAACAAATCTGGAAAGGCAGAAGGCCACCCAGGCTACACCGCTGAGGACGCTAACTGCACTACATTTCTATCACGTCTATGCAGTCCACTAACGCTATTCACCAGCCTTTGAACAAGCATGTTCCTGCCTTCCCTCTTCACACCCACTGGCAGCAGAGAAGACATTTTCAAGACTCATACATTTAAAACACCTAGCTGACCTTTACTTGGCCCAAACTGGAATTCTTAAAGCAAGCAATAGGAAGATGGTGCCTAGGTTTGGCAACTGTCAGATACCAGTTCATATGGCAAGAACACAGCTCCATACTGTTTCGGCTGGATTTTTGTTGTCCTGCTTATGCACCTTAGGAACATGTATTTGTAAAGTCCACTTTAAACACAGGCTTCCAGGATATAACAGAAAAAGAAAACCATGCATCATAGCTATTTTCAATCTCCCAGAAAGCCTAATTTTCTTACTGCTGTGATTTACCTATCTGTATAAAAGACTTTCCTAAGCAGGTTTTTATAAAGGAAAAAAAATGCAATTATTATGGCTGAGGTTTTACCTAAAGTGAAGATGAACAACAAAATATTCACTAGGTTTTTTCCTAAAAAAAAAAAAAAAAAAAAAAGCTTTATAAGAAAAGACTGTGTTCAATCTGTATTTCTCTTACTTCCAGAAACAAAATATTAATACAAAATGGTTTTTCTTTTAAGAAAATTCCACGAGACTGCAGTGAGCTGAGCTACTGTCTCTCCATAGAATGTGCATTAACTCTGTAAGTTCTGTATAATAACTGGTGGCTCCTGAATGTTCCCAATGGTGATTTTGTACCTTTGTACTAATCCTTCATGTAAAACACGTATTAGAAGGTAGTAAAAAAGCCTTGAAGAACAACTGTTCCTCTTTCCTCCCCAAAATGTAATAGTCATTTTTCTGTCTCACATACTATCATTGCCATACAGAGAATGATTGATTCAGAAATCAACACTTTAAGAAATACTATCATGAACCCAGAGAGGTGGTGGTTAATGATGAAGTCCCCCTGCTCCTGAAAGGGACTTTAGGGGGAGCTGTCCCTGAAACGGCTGTCCTATGCTTCTTGGTCAGCTTCTGAATCAATGGTTCTACGTCAATACTGCTTGAGCACTGCAGAACCCCAATTCTTGCCAACACCCCAAATCCACAACCTCTCTTCCACAGAAAAGAACCCTGGTGCAATGTCCACATCTTCATATTTATTTCCACAGTGATAAAACATGGAATATATTTAGCTACCATAGTAGAGGAAAAAAATCTTTCATTGATTTATGATTTAAGTCCCATAACAATGAATCCAACTCTTCTAAGTCTTCAATTGACTAACATTTACTCAATCAAATGCTGAAGTAAATGGACCCCCATCTAGGTCTCAGAAGTCATGTCATACAGTTTGTCTTATAATGTACTTATGATGGGTTGTGACTTCTAATACTCAAGCAGGGTTGATAGTGAGCGACAGCCCAAGAAGCACATGGCTTTCTACATGATTTTTTTTCTTTTGCAGTGATGGAGATTGGAACAAGGGCCTTATGCATGTTAGGCAAGTGCTATACCACTGAGCCACAACCCCAGCCCCCAAATTCACTTGTTTTTTTTGTGTGGTACTGTGACTTGAACCCTGGGCTTTGAGCATGCCAGGCAAGCATTCTACCACTGAGTGACTTTCCAGCCCTGTACATGGATTTCTTGACCTAACATTCAAAAGGTCATTTTGTAGTACTAATTTAATTTTGATCTTTCCCTAAAAGACAGAAACCACATCCCACACTCCTATGTATAACTTATTATTTGGGTGTTTTAAAATAAATGAGCAAGAAGTGGAGGCATGAAAAAAAATCCAGCTTCTTTTGGCATTAGGAGACACAGAGATCTCAAGAAGAGAGCAGACAGCTTCTGTATCCACCTGCTCATGGCTGGTTGTCACAGTTCCCTTAAAAACAAATGCCTAAAATTGCTGCCAGCAACGAGGGGCTCAATGGGACTGTGTTTGTTATAAAAGAAGATAAACATGTTTAGGAAACATACAAAGCAGAACAAGTTGGTGATGGCCTGTGTACAAGATTTGTGCTTGAAGCTTTGGTGTACCTCCTGGGCCAGTTGCTCAGACACCAAAGCCCATTCCTGATTAATTATCAATACATAATTCAAACCAAACTACTGAAACATATTACTTTTTTTCAGAATAGGGAAATAAAGGCACAGAAACCTGTCAAAATAGATTTTTTTTCCATAAGAATAGTATGGTTGGTTAAAATAGTTTATCACTAGTAAAACCTGTATCACTAGAGCAGACAATACAAATTAGTTTTAAAAAAAATGACATTCACTGAATTCCTGGTCTGTGCATTCAATGTGAATAATCATCAAAAATATATTACAATTAAAGGAGGTTTATAAGGAGCTCTGTCTGGGGTTTCTATAGCATACTTAGTATTTTAGATGAGAAGTACCACACTGATATCTTGGCTGTCTACTGTTCCTTTTTATGTCACCTAGAGAGTCTGTCTCTTAGGAGTGCAGGTTCACGTGCTTCCACAGAATGCTGTGCCTACATGACCTCCTCAGGGACTTCCAGACTCCTCATCAGATTCCACATCTAAGAGTTCAATGACCTGTATGACACTTTAATAAATATTTCTGTGTTTTTTGCTTTTAAGCTCAGCTTAAATTTTGTCAAGGAAACCATTTCACAAGAGGGTTTTTCACAACCTACTATCAGCAATATTCCTTGTTTATTAGAATCTGAAGATGTCCATATTACATCAAATATAAATATATATTATATTTACATTTCCTTCTTAGCTTTTCAACTTAGGTGAGTGTATTTATAGATAATGCCACAAATGCACCACTATTATAACCCTCAGTGCAGCTGGTATCTTTCTTCCATTAGATGCATATAAGACAGCATCTTAAAAGAGGTGTACTGTTCTTTTTAAACAATAGGAAAGAATGGGGTATCCATGAATGGACGTCTAGGAATTCCTTAAGAGATTCTGTTCTGTTTTTCAATATTTCAAAATACCTGAAAAAATGTGGTCCCTTTTAGCAGTACTATTCTCTACTTGGGGACAAGAAAATTAAATATGCAACTTAGAAAGGAAAAGAGCCCAAAGAAAAGAGAACCTGCTTGTTAGCTCATTAATCTGTTTTAGTAAAGATCTGTTTTAAAATGTCTGAATGCTGTACAATATTATACAAAAACAATCTTCAGCCTTCAAAGCAGCTGCTGCATTTTCTTAGAGATCTGTTTGCCTGACTAACAGTCTGCTGCCATGGTGGGCCTTTGTCTTGGTCACTTTCGGTCATCAATGGTTTTAATGAATTCTACTGCTGCTGTGAACTGCATCCACCAATAGGACTCTTCTCCAGACAGACAGCTGGCATAGAAGCTGCTGATGTACTGCACAGTGGACAGCAGGCAAGGTGGGTTTGCCTAGAGAAGTGAAAAATGAACAAGTCAATTACTCAGATGCTAAGCTCTGCCCAAGTCATCTTAGCATATGTTCTTTAAATGTTTTTTTTTTTTTTTTTTTGTGTGTGTGTGTGTGTGTGTGAAAGAAATACCAGTCCTTTTGAAAATAAACTCTACATTGCTTTTTGGAAGTAATCTATAAACAATATACTGGAAAGGCAGTTGGGTTCTAATCCTAGCTGAACTACCCAGAGCCTTCCATCCTGGCAAATCACCTAATCTTGGTAGCCCCTCAGGTGGCTGAACTAATCTCCATAATCTTCTTCAACAGTCCAGGATTCCAGCAAGTTAGATAAGAAAATAAATGCTGTGGGCTAACTGATAATATCTGGTTAGGAAGTCCAGGTAGAATCAGCTGAGAGTAAAAAAAAAATAAATAAAAAAGGTAATGTGCCCCCTATAGCCCAGAGGGGACACAGAACATCTTCTGTTTGTTCACTTTCTTTCACATGGACAGAAAGGACATATGCTATTAAATAGTTTTTAAATAGGACAAGCTGAGCCCCCTTCCTTAAAATCTGTTCAAAATGGCTCTGCAGAAGGACTAGCCAGATCACACTCAGAATACAGAACAGCAAAGGCCAGGAGAAGTTGCACCTGCCTGTGTGCGGGGTTTCTGACTCTGAGCCAAAAGTTTCAGTTGCAGAAATACCACCAACACTAAAGATTAGGAAGATATATGTCAGATGTACTTCAGATATCAGCGGCTGGGGTGTGCTAATATTCAGTGATGTCACTTGGGGCTGTGTGCACCCAAACTGCATGGTCACACCCAAAATGTTCAAAATAAAATGTTTAAGTGAATTGTAATTTTAGAGTTCAAAGAAAGACAAAGGGATATAGCTCAGTTGGTAGAGTGCTTTCCTCACATGCACAAAGCCCTGGGTTCAATTCCCAGCACCATTAAAAAAAAAACAGACAGACAAAAGATGTCAATACTTTTTAAAATAACGAAGTATAATTATAAAATAAGAGGCTCAAAGAAGATAGAAGTGATTGGTAAATCTGGTGGTCTATTTAACAACCATTATAAAGAATTCCATGTGAAAGAAGATTACAAAAGTACAATAAAAAGAACCTGTTTTCATTCACTCAAGGATGACACATTAAGCCCCAATTAAGATCTATAGGCACTGGGCTGGGTTTGTGGCTCAGTGGTAGAGTGGTCGCCTAGCATGTGTGAGGCACTAGGTTCGATCCTCAGTGCCACATAAAAAAATAAATAAGTGAAATAAAGGTATTGTGTCCATCTACAACTAAAAAAAAAAAAAAAATGAAGAAAAAAAAAGAACTATAGGAAACTACTTAGATACTGAAAATGTTCATCTAGGAACTGATCCTCTCTTGCTTTGTTTTGAAAACTGTGACTTCTAAACAGAACAAATCTTGACATTATACACTTTCTTTCTGGATAACACAGGACTTGAGATGGAGAAGAGTCCAGGTCTCTAACACTACACCACATTAAGCCCTGTGCCACCCTACTCAGGATGCCACCTAAACTCTTTAACTGATAGTAGATAAGAGACCCACCTTTATCAACACAAACACCAACACAGGAACAAAGTCATCTGCTCCAGGGACAGAGTCCTCATTGGCCAGGCTCAGGAGGTTCATAATTGTAGAGCACATTCTCAGGATGCACTGCACTTTGTCCCGGGGGGTTTTATAAGCACTTATTGTCCTGATTTCTGATTGTGCAGATGGCCACGGTGCTTCCCGAAGATAAACCTAAGTGAGACCACAGATAATAACAGACCCTCAATACAAGGGCAATGATCTGTTGGAGTGACCATGGCAACCTCCAACCCAAGTCGGGGACAGGCTAAGGTGGCTGCTTTCCTCTTTCTTCAGTAAAACTGGACTTTAGGTCCTTCCCCTTCCACCCAAGATTATAGTTATCTTTTAAATGTTTATGTAATATACTTTGTGTTTTAAAATAGAGCAACACAGATATACATTAATAGAAAGGGTATACAATAACAAAGAACCAAGAATTCATAAAATTTCAATGATCCTTTTTTTTTTTTTTTTTTAAGAAAGAGAGAATTTTAATATTTATTTTTTAGTTTTCGGCAGACACAACATCTTTGTATGTGGTGCTGAGGATTGAACCTGGGCCGCACGCATGCCAGGCGAGCACGCTACCACTTGAGCCACATTCCCAGCCCCAATGATCCTTCTTAAATAGCTAGAAAAGGACTTCTGTACATTTAATAGCATTAACAAGCTATTAAAACAAGATAATTTAAGAATTAATATATACTTTCTTACAATGGTTCTTGAAATGAGATCCAAAAATAAAAAAGAATTAAAAATTTTATGCCAATTAATGTTTCATTTGTGGGGAATTTAATAAAAACAACCAGAACTAGCTCAAATAGCTGAAATTTTCCAGATTTCTTATTTTGTAAGAGATGTATGCCAGGTAAAAATGCTAGTATCAATAACTAAAAGGTAATTTGAGACCATGCCATATTTAATTACTTCTTTTGGAACAAAATTCCTCACCTTCTTTGGAGTGTCACAAGCCCCTTCTTCAAATGGGATGGCTGTGTAGAAACAAGACTGTAAGAACACCAAGACAGCTCGCTGCCCAGGAAGGCAGGGCTTGGGACAGAAGCCAGCAGCTCTGGGGAGGCACTCTCCTCCTCTCCTCTACTGAGGTCCCTTTCCATGCCAGGGAAATTTAACCCTGGGAACATGACAGAGTGAAAAGTATCTAGTGCAAACGGTGCTTTCCATTTTATCACACTCCAGTTCCCTGACATAGTGGTAATATGCACATGGTACACCATGCAAGTTAGTTAACATGTAACCCATGGTACATAAACCTGTATTACCTCTGGGATCTGAAGAGCTCTGTGATTTGCAGTCACTACTTTAGACAATCTCTGGATATGTTCATGAAGAACCCTGAAAACCAAAATGCAAATGTAAATATACATTTCAGAAAATAAGGCATAAAAAAGCCATAGTCAAATTTTTTCAAAACACTCAAAGTATTTTAGACTTATTTATTTATGCAGGTTACAAGTACAGTTGAGACTCTCATGGCCATAAATTTTCTTTTTTATCAGAAAAGGTTCAGATTTAGGATCTGCTTAGAAATGCCAAATGAGCTGTGGGGATGCAGATAGGGTAGGGGAATCCTCCTTTCCTGGACTAGGACAGCATTCCAAGGAACAGAGGAGAGAAGCCCTTAGCTTGAACACACTGCTTAGTAAAGGAGAGGAAAAAGAAGAAAGTGAGAGAAAGTAAGAGGGATCAAGAGCCAGAAACCAAAGATCAGGCTTTCAGATGGAGAAGGGACTCTGCCATTCACCAGCCCCTCACTTTCTATGTGAAAACAGGATTAAAAGGTATAGGATTTGCCTCAGTAGCAGGAGCTAGAATAGCTTCTTGACTTCCAGTGTCTGGAAAGATCCAGACACTGTTTATTGTCTTTAAACCTGCAGAAATGCCATGAAGGAGTGGGTAGGAATACTCTACTTCAAAGTTGCTCTCTGCAGTAAATGTAACTTCAATATCCCATTCTATATTCCATGCCGAACACCAGAAATTGGTGCTCTGGAGAGAGAAAAGGCCCTGGGGTAGGCTAACAACCTCGGAGACGATGAATACATGAGAGAGGCAAGTTGGAACAACTCTAAGTGATTTCACAAGAATGTGAATTCTCTCAAATTTATGTGCAACCTCTTAAAATTTCTGTAGGCCTGGGGGTGTAGCTCAGTAGAGAGTGTTTGCCTAGCATGCATAAGGCCCTGGGTTGCATCCCACAAAAACAAAAACAAAACTTGCATGAACTATTAATAACCCTTCTCTGAGATCCTATTGCACAGACCCCTATTAGTTACTGGGCTGGGAAGCATGGAAATAACTGTTACACACTTAGGGCAAAAGTAGGACTGCAGAGCAGTACTTAGGAAAAAAAAAAAAGGGTAATAACGGATAACACACTTAGGGCAAACGTAGGACTGAAGAGCAGTACTCAGGAAAATTAAGAAGAGTAATAATGAAAATGATAATTCCTCCATAGTCTCAATCCCCAAAATACCCAATGTCACTATTCTACATTTTTTTGGGGGGAGGGTGGGAGTGGGATGGCGGTTGCCTTTTTTTTTTTTTTAATTTTTATTTTTTGAGACAGGGTCTTGCTAAATTGCTTAGGGCCTTGCTAAGTTCCTAAGGATGGCTTTGAACTTACCATCCTCCTACCTCGGCCTTCTAAGCCACTGGGATTACTTCTTATTTAATATTTTTGCAGTAGGCATCAAACCCAGGTCCTTTTGCACTCTACCACTTAACTACATCCCAAGCTCTCAGTATTACTTTCTAAAACAATTTTATTCAGACATAACTCACATACCATATAATTGCTGATATTTGTTGATAGTCAAATATATAACTGTTCATTCCTAATAAATATATAATGAGTACATATTAGAAGCCAGGCACTGTGCTTGATGCGATGACATTCATGCTCTCACAGAAGGGACAATCCAGTAGGAGAGAGAGCATTTATCAAATGATTACACTAACTAGTAATCAAGAACAGGAGAGAATCATTACCCTAAGTACATGTATGAAGATACGAATGGTGTGAATATACTTTGTATATAACCAGAGATATGAAAAATTATGTTCTATATGTATAATATGAATTGTAATGCATTCTGCTGTTATATATAACAAAGTAGAATAAAAAATAAAAATAAATAAGATTAAAAAAAAAAAAAAAGAACAGGAGAGAATTTCATTCCCCAGAGACATCTGGCAATGTCTGAAAATATTTTTGGTTGTCACAATTGGTTGGGCATTACTGTACCTAGGGTGTTCAGGCAGGAATGCTGCCAAACACTCTACCATCTATAGGACAGCTTAGTCTTCACAAAGAGCTGCCTGATCTCAAATGTCAGTAGTGCTGGGTTGAGAAACCTTGACTTAAATAAATGCCAAATAACAATCATGCAAGTGTTAAAGAGGGGTACTAGGCCTGAGACAGCCCTAAGGGGATTTAAGCTAGTCAGGAAAAGTTTCCCAAGGAAGTGATGCTTGAATTGAAATCTGAATGATAAGTAAGAGTTAATCAGACAGAGAAGGCAGGGAAGAACATTTGAGGGAGGATACAAAGCTGTGCCTTCCAAAAAGGCCACACAAATTCATATACCTGCCAGCCTGATGACCTTCCTGAAAACTGGGTATTTATTATTATTTTTTAAATTATTATTTTTTTTTTTTGGTGGTGCTAAGGATTGAACATAGGACCTCATGTATACTAGACAAGTATATACAACCACTGAGTTATATCCCAGGCCTTTTTCTAATTTTTTATTTTGAGACAGGGCCTTGCTGGCCTCAAATTTCTCATCTTCCTCATGTATGTCCCCCAAGCATCTGGGATTACAGATAAGCCCCTCCATGCCCTACTTATCATTCTTTTGAATTGCATAACTCTCATGGGTGAAAAATGATAACTGAGACATTTCCTTTACTATCAGATGCTAAACCACAGGTACGGCTTGCCTAAAGTATGGGGCTACCTGATACACGCATCCAGCACAGGCACTCAACATAGAAGCACTCACTGGTCACGAAGGATATCCCCATCCTGATTAGGGTAGAAGGCAAGCTTGAAAATGCGATTCATCACACTTCGTTCGATGGCCAGCTGAGCATCCTGCAGCTGCTCTTCACTTGCATTTTGCCATATGACATCCTGGGCCATTGCACCATAAAGAAACTGTAGAAAATCTTCTACCTGAGCAGTTTTATCATCAGCTGCTGTGAGTTTCTGAAAATCTCCAATGCACAAACAATAACTTTTAAAATACATCATATGAATAAACTTAAAAAGGAAATTTTAGAACTTTTCCCCATTTTCCTCTGTTTCATTTCCCCTCAATCCAACATATTAAATGGAAAATTCTAGAAATAAACAATTCATAAGTTTTGAATTTCAAGCTGTTTCTTGGTAGGCATCTCATTATAGGTTATAGGTATAGCATATAGAGATCAGTATTAGACACAGTTTCAGGCATCCGCTGGGAGGAGGGGGTGTCTTGGAACATATCCCTTGCAGATAAGGGGGGACCAATGTATTAAAATCCGTTTTTAAAATATTTTTTTGTAGTTGTAGATGGACACAATACCTCTATTTTGTTTTTATGTTTCTTGTTTCCTCAACAAGTGTGGTGCTGAGGATCAAACCCACTGCTTTCCACATGCGAGGTGAGCACTCTACCACTGAGCTACAACCCCAGCCTCTAAAATCATTTAATTGCTAGTGATACAGATATTAAAGCCTAAAGGTTTTGGAGTGCTTTATTTCAGGACAATACACAGCCAAGTCATTAAAATCAGGAAAGAGTAAGAAATATCTAGGGCTGGGGATGTGGCTCAAGCGGTAGCATGCTCGCCTGGCATGCGTGCGGCCCGGGTTCGATCCTCAGCACCACATACAAACAAAGATGTTGTGTCCGCCGAAAACTAAAAAAATAAATAAATAAATAAATAAATATTTAAAAAAAAAAAAAAAAGAAATATCTAAATATTTACGTGCCAATGAATTTGTTTAAAAATATGTTGTTTGTAAAAATGAGAAAAATTGTGTGAATCCAAAGTTTTACCAACTTCCCCAATTTTTAAAATAAACTGATATTCAATCCAGGAGAAAAAGAAATTTATAGATTTGATATCAAAGTGTAATTATTAAGAATCCACAGGGGCTGGGGATATAGTTCAGTTGGTAGAGTGCTTACCTCGCATGCACAAGGTCCTGGGTTCAAGCCCCAGCACCATCAAAAAAAAAAAAAAGAATCCACAAACTAACTAGGTATTTAAGGAGCTGGTCTAAAGTATGCAGGTACTTACACAAGCTAGCAAGCAAAACAAAACAAATTTTCCCAATCTTCCTAATAATAAATGGTTGAAGACATGCTTCCTCTAACAGTAGTTACCTTGAATGAATTCCCTGATCTTCTTTTCTTTGCTCTCAAGCAGTAACCTCACACAGACAGTGGTAAAATATCGATTGGCTACCTCTTTGTCCCGTAAAACCCTTTGCAAGAGCCTCTCCAGGTGAGCCTGCGTAGTCTGCAGTCCTTGTCGACAGCGAGTGAGGTAAGCGATATATGGGGCTCTTTTCCTAAAAGGAAAAATGCTTTGCAGGACATCAGATATGTACGGTGCTTACTTTTTTTAAAAAAAACTAAGAGTTCTAATTTTTTTCACTTCATAAACTTTGGCTTTACAAATTGGCATGTCAAGCTACAGACAAATGTCCTGGGGAATATTTATGCTGCCAGCTCAAGAAACAGAATCCTGTTTTTCTTGAGCTGGCAGCATGAATTGTGCATGTCTGTGATGAACAGTATCTTTTGAACTGAATGTTTAGCTCCCTAACTCAGTGAATATTACTAAGGCTCTTCAGATTCTAGGTTTATTTTATACTGGAGCACAGTCTCCCCACTAGTAGCACCTCTTACTTAACAGGAAATGAACAGTTACAGAAAATTGAAAATAAGTTGGGCATGGTGGTATACACTTGTAATCCCAGCTCACTTGGGAGGCTGAGGTAGGAGGATTACAAGTTTGAGGCCAGCCTGAGCAACATAGTGAAATCCTATCTCAAAATGAAAATTAAAAAAATAGCTGGAGATACAGCCCAGAAGTAGAATACTTCTGGGTTCAATCCCCAACCATCACCCCCCCCACATACAAAAAAAGAAAATGGTGATAATTAAAAATAACAACAAAAAACAAGCTATACAAACTAGTTCGTTAAACACTCCCCACCAGCTATTTGCTTATGGTGTTAATGTGGAGCTCGTCCACTAGGACATGAGGCCTCCACACTGCCCATGCATCTCAGTTACACTCTTCCCCATAACCATCAGCTGGCAGCCAAAGAAAAATATACTACTACTTCTCTAGTCCACTAAAGTAGTATTTACTAATGTCCCTTTAAAAGAAAGTAATAAACTAGTTATCCTAGCCTCACAAACTAGACAAACCTCTTTACTGTTTTTGTGCAAAGCTGACATAAACTGCACTTCTCTATTAGGAAGAGCTGCTCATTTGTAACTACATTTCTGGAGTGTGTAGCTTAGAAATCTATATCCAGGTAAACATAGACATGCACTTGGTAGTAGGCCTAGACTGGTTTGTGAAACAAGGACTAAAAAGAAAACACTTGCAGCTGAGAATGTCTGTTGAATGGGTTGGGTATGTTACCTGTAGTCCTCAGCAATGGATGCCAGCAGTTTCCTACATGTCCTATTATCAAAACGGCATACACAACGCATTGTTTCTTGAAGTTGAGCCATTAAGTTCTTATCTTGTAAATTAATTGCTTCAGCTATTTGAACTTTTAAGAAGCATACAATTTCATTATCTAAATAAAAAAATAAGAATTACATTACTATAGAGAATTTCCATGGGCTTACATATATACTGTCCCCAGCATTCGGGACATTAATTCTACTGTACCATTTATCACCAAAACTAAGCAGTAGTGCCACTGCCATTTAGAAAAAAAAAAAAAAACTGATAAACTATCAGTAATCACAGTGCCCTTAAGTGACATGAAAACAAATGTGTTAAGTTGAATCATGGAATATTAATATAGCCGAAGAGTGAAATACTGGCAATTTCATTGGTTCAAACTGTAAATACAGAAGAAACTAAACTATCCAGAACCAACTTGCCTTCTGGGTCTGTATGGTCTGGTAATCCGTTCCTTGTTGAATGGGTTAACACTGGGAAGGCAACAGAGTCCGCAGAGCAAAGAGCAAGCCTCAGTTTCTTTTTTGCATCTCTGAATAATGGGTACAAAACACATTAATTTCTTTGTCCAGAATGGTCACTTCTTTTTTGGGGTGCTAGGAATCAAACCCAGGGCCTTGTACATACTAAGCATGTGCTCTACTACTGAGCTACCTCCTCACCCAGAAATGATCACATTTTATAAATATTTACTGTATGAGGGCTGGGATTGTGGCTCAGAGGTAGAGTGCTTCCTGAGCATGCAATCCTGGCACCACACAAAAATAAACAAAATAAAGGTATTATGTCCATCTACAGCCAAAAAAAAATTTAATTTACTTTATGAATAAATATGCTACTTCAGGATTCAAATATTTCAAATGTTTATTTTTATGTGGTGCTGAGGATTGAACCCAGCGCCTCACATGTGCTAGGTGAGTGCTCTACCACTGAGCCACAACCCCAGCCCCACAAGTGTGTGTGTGTGTACGTACACACACACACATTTATATATATATATTTTTGAGGGGGTGGTGGTGCTGGGGATTTAGCCCAGGGCCTTGGGCACAGGAGGCAAACACTCTACCAACTGAGCTATACGCCCAGCCCCCTAAAAAAATAATTTTAACTTACATCTCACTCTTGCTTGAAAGAACACACTTCTAATTACCTGAGGAACAAGGTTATAAAAGTACTCTGGGCAAGGACCTCCCCATAGGGTCACCTGAATCAGTCAAACAAACCTTTTCTGACCTTCCATCACATGCTGAGTTTTACCTCAGGAACTCAGGAGAACCAGACAGCCTATGTGCCAGAGAGGTCGCCAGCTCACCCCAGTACTCACACAAGAACACCTTCTATTGCATCTCTTGAAAAATTCTGGTCCTGCCACAATATAAATTTGCCCACTGACAAGAAACTCTTTTTATTGCTCTGTTGCTTGAGAGTTTTTGTATTGGATTCCTCTTAACTTCCAAATGCTGAACCACCTACTTCCACCCAGTAGCTGAGCCCGCCTCAGCTAGGGGCTACCCTCCACAGCAATGCAGCTCTCCCTAACGGGGAAGCATTGAGGCTCTCTTATTTGTAAGTGCCCATGGTCTTTTCTGGTCCTGTGGGCCACAGACCAGAATGTCTTCAAAATAATCAAATCTGCTATCTAGATAAAGGAGTTTGAACACCTTAGAGAAAGGCCAGAGAGTGTGCCTCCTCTGTAGGATGTCACTTGTCCACCTCATGCTAGCTCTGAGTCTTTCTCTACTGGATTTCTTCCTATAAAATGAGAAATTTAGATATCAAGATGAGGTAACATTCACCTCATTTGCCAAAAATATTATAAAATACATAATGGTAAAGTCACTTGATGAGTTTTAGAAAGTAATTCATGCTGGAAGGTAATTCTATCTGCTATTCCCCCAATTATACTGCAGGAAAAAAATATGGAAAGTTCCAAAAAGATTTTTTTTTTTTTTGGTACTACAGATTAAATCCAGGGGCACTTAACCACTGAGCCGCATTCTCAGTCCTTTTAATTTTTTAAATTTTGAGACAGATTTTCACTAAGTTGCTTAGGGCCTCACTAAGTTGCTGAGGCTGGCTTTGAACTTGAGATCCTCTTGCCTCAGCCTTCTGAGCTGCTGGGATTACAGGCGTGTGCCACTGAACCCAGTAGCAAATTTTATTTACAAATATTTTTTGCATAAATATAATAATATATTATTTTAATATATAAATATAATAATATAATATATAAATATAATAATATATATATTATTTTAAGGAAGAGTTTCCTTAAAATAACTGGGAGGAGGTAAATATGGAATAATACTGGTTATGTGTTGGTAACTGTTGGATCTGGATAATGGGTACATCATTGTATCTATTTGAAAATTTCTGGAATAAAAATATAAGCCAAGTGCAGTGTCATACATTTGTAATCCCAGCAAATCAGGAGAATAAGGCAGGAGGATCACGGGTGCAAGGCCAGCTTCAGCAACTTAAACTTAGTGAGAACCTGTCTCAAGGCATCCCTGAGTTCAATCCCCAGCACCAAAATTAAAAAAAAAAAAAAAAGTAAAAGAGAGAGAGGTGGGGGTGGGGATGAGGGAGACATGGGACACGGGACTTTGCAAGTCCACAAGAGATAACTAGTGCTTTAAAGCTGAGGCTTCTTGTCTGAGGAAACCGAGGATCGCTATCAAAGAACCCTGAAGTCATTTTTTTTCTCAAGCCCTATTAGAAATAGAGGCCTGCCCATGTAATGAGGATGACGACAAAAAGAGAGGTTTACTGAGATAGTGAGTTGCTCCATCACTGTGTGCAGGGCGATTCCAAACTACCCATGCCCTCTCCTGATGTGAGCCACACACACTCATAGCTTTGCACAGGCAGGAGCACTGCAACTTGTTTTGTTTGCTTATGTGTTTTATGTGGGTATATGAGTCTTTTTTTTTTTAAATCTCTGAATTATTGCCTTTGATACATGACATCCAGAACTGAAGCAAGTCTTCTCAGTAACTATTTCATTCTTATCTGTTTCATAAATCTATTATTAAAATGACTTAATGAATCATTTGAATTGAATTGACTGTAATAATGATTAAAAGTCCAAACCCCAAAGTCCCAAATACTACAAAAGAAATACCTATAAGAAAAAGCTGAATCCTGAGGGTGGGCTGCTTGGCTCGCAGAGTCTGGGAGATCATCAGCTGAGATGTTCTGTAGTGTTTCATCCCGAGGAGAATCATGTGCACTTTCACCATCACCCATGACCTCTGGAGAACAAAACCCATCACCGAGAAAAGAATAGTTATATTAATTTGTAATATTCTGGTATTGGTACTAGTAGGTAATTCAGAGCAATTCAATCCTAAATTAGTAATATCTTAGAGTAAGAGTTCTTCAGAAGATAAAATAGAAAGAAGGAAAAACTCAAAACATTTGACCAAATGGTCAAAGCAACAATAATGTATCATGAGAGCAGATGCTGGGAATGGTTTTAATTCTTTTTTTTATTTAATTGTAGATGGGAACACTTATCTTTTTTTTTTTTAATTTTTTATTCTAATTTGTTATATATGACATTACAATTCATATTACATATACAGAGCACAATTTTTTTTCATATCTCTGGTTGTATACAAAGTAACAATTATCTTTATATATATATTTTTTTAATGTGGTGCTGAGGATAGAACCCAGTGCCTCATGCAAGCGCTCTACCACTGAGCTACAGCCTCAGCCATGGTTTTAAATTCTTATCACAATCCTAATCCGAAACAGTGAAAGTCTGAATTAATAAAGTTAATATTCCATAATCAAAATCACTGAACCACAAAACTCAAAATCTTCAAAAGTCATTTTACATAATAATTCACTTTAGAGACATGGACTCCTTCCCAGTCAAAAAAAATTGCTGGTTCTACATCCCTTTGTTGCACAATGGCTGAGGTGGACCAAGCGCATGGATCTCCAGACCTTCCCCCCACAGCCCTCTCACCACACCCAACAAAGAGCAAGAGGACTACCACAGAAAAGCCAGATCTGTGGGTCCCTCTACTTGTTCTGTTTTTAATTAGTCAATCAAGAATACAGATAAACAGGTGCTGGAGTTGTGGCTCAATGCTAGAGCACTTGCCTAGCATGTGTGAGGTACTGGGTTCAATTCTCAGCACTTTATATAAATAAATGAATAAAATAAAGGTCCATCCACATCTAAAAAAATTTTTTAAAAAATAGAATATAGGGGCTGGGGTTGTGGCTCAGCGGTAGAGAGCTCACCTAGCGCGTGCGGGGCCCTGTGTTCGATCCTCAGCACCACATAAAAATAAATAAATAAAAACAAAGGTATTGTGTCCAACTACAACTAAAAAGAAAAATAAATATTAAAAGAAAAGTTAAAAAAATAGAACATAAACATACATAAAACAACACAAAATCAAAGGGAATAAAAAAATTCCTGAATATAAGGAAGATTCTGTGTTTTTATAGGAAAACATTCTTATTATTCAGAGAAAATTTCAAATGCTTCAGGAAAAAATGGAAAAACATAGAAAAAATGTTAATAATTGTAATGTTTACATAGAAGGTATATGAATGTTCAGGATAGAAAAGTGGACATTCTCTTTTCCCATGACTCCCTCTCAGGCCCCTACAGTCTTTCTCAGAGCTAATTCATATTCCCAGTTTCCTGGAGATTCTTCTAGAAGATACTCCCAGCACACATAAGCATAAATGGGTGCAGACACTACTTAAGCTTTTATACACTTTTGTTTCCCTTTAGTTTGAAGACTGTGTCATATTTTTCAGACAAATTATTCAATATTCTACTGTGAGAAAAACATAATCATTTAAAAAATAAGAACCAAGCAACAATGGATAACCTAAGAGAGTGCTGCCTCAGCTACCTGAAGAGAGATAACTGTATGAAATTACAGTTCTATAGGCAGTTGCAAAATAACCTCTTCCCTCCCGCTAAAGCATGCATCAGGTCACTCTGGGCAGTGACTCCAGGATTCATGGGATGATGACTCAGGCATCTGAACATCTGCACGTGCCCAGGCTTAGTGGGAGAGTACAGAGAGGGACATCAATTTAATCTGATTGGGTTATCAAGTTTGTAATTTTAAAATAGTATATTGATTCTCTAGCTATTTTTTTAAAGGGTACTTAAAAGATTTATCTTTATTACTATGGTAAAAATGACTGTTCAAATCTTTATCATGATTATCACCTGCATTTTCATAGTTTGCCATTGCTCCTTCACTGGGGCTGGTCCGTTTAATGGCATTCCGGTATTTGTCCAGAATATCCTCAGCAACCTGAGCTTGTGCAGTGAGCCTAGGGATGGGATCATCTGCAGGGGAAAGGAAGGTGAGAGAATTAGTTCCTTGGGTTTGTACTAGCGATGATGTTAGTAATGACACCAGTAGCACATCCCAAAGGCAGATTAGGAGGTCAGACTTAAAAAGAGCACATATCTCAATGTTAAGAGGCACCATGCAGCTGCCTGCTCATCCCATTTCTAGGTCTAAGAGCCTTGTCAAAGCAGAAAATTGGGAGGAGTCACTCCACCTTCTCATCATCACCAGAATTCTGCATGACAGTGACAAACTTCAGTGCAGACTGAATGGATAACAGGTTACTAAAGGGCTTACACTGAAATCACTGTTAATAGCAATTCATGCTAACAAAACTTCCAAAGATGCACTTTTATATGCAGACTTCATTTAATCAAATATCTCTATGATGAACAAAAAAGAACTATTTAAACTTAAACTCTTTTTAATGATGAGATGTGCCTTTCTCTATTCTTTCTTCATGAATTAATTCCTTTCTACACCACATCTGAAAGTTATAGATATTCATATACTATCTCACTAGATCTCACCACGACAGTGCAATTGCTGGCACACAGCACGTTTGTGCATACCATGGTCAGCAACACTCAGAGAATCTAGACATCCTGCGAGAGTGCTGGAATGGTACCTGAATGCTCTGAGGAAAACTTAACATACCCACAAAACCACAGCTTTGTTTACCTATAGAACTGTTAGGCTGACAAAAAAAAAATCAGCACATCAAAAGTGTTATCTTGGAGTCTTAGAAGTTATTCATTAATTGAATGGGCTGTCAAAGCAAAGAACTGCTATGATCTACAGGACAAAATAAAGTTTTATGGTAAAGTACAAACACCTGGGATAGAGCTAGGCCAATAGATAACCAACCATACCTACATTTAGTTAGAATCCCATTTTATTTATTTTTGGTTTTGGGGATTGAACCCAGGGTTGCTTAACCATTGAGCCACATCCCCAGCCTATTTTATTTTTTATGTTGAGACAAAGTCTTGCTAAGTTGCTTAGGACCTAAGTTGTGCCACTGCAACTGGCAGAATCCTTCTTTTACTAAGAAATTCTAAAATCATATCAAAATCATTAGATTTTATACATATGCATATTAATAGTGGCTAAAAGGCTGAGGGTGCAGCTCAGTGGAAGAATGCTTGCTCAGCATGTGCAAAGCCCTAAGTTCAATTCCCAGCAAAAGAGAGAGAGAGAGAGAGAGAGAGAGAGAGAGAGAGAGAGAGAGAGAGAGAGAGAGAAGTAGCTAATATTAGCAACAGCTAACATTTATTGAGTGTTTACCATGTGCCAGAAACTGCACTAAGCACCTTAGGTGGGCTATCTCAATTAATCATCAAACAATCTTATAAAGAGGCACTATTATCACCCCATTTTACAGCAGAGCAAATCAAGGCACAGAAGTGAAGCAGCATGTTCGTAGCTTCTTCTTTTGTTTCTATGAAACAATAATTTGGTGTTCATGTCTCTGTAGAATTATATTCAACTATATAGAAAAAGAATTTCCAAAGTAATTTAATCATATTTAATTTCATGATGAGATCCCTAATAAAATTTTATCTTTTTAAAAATGTCAATTGACAGAACCTTTACTATTACAGAATCTTGTTTTGGAGGGGGAATACTTTTTGCTGATAGCTTTTGAGTGCTAATAAAGGCTCTGAAAAAGGGGCAATGTAATTTGGCTACACATAGTAAGAACCATAACAATGTTGTTTTAACCTATGTTTCTATTAACACCATTCTTAAAATTTTTAACCCAGGAAAATAATTAAAACAAAAATGCTATGTATACAAAGCAGTAAGGACGATTTTCATGGCTAAAAACTGGAAAATATTTAAATATCCAATAGAGAATGTTTTACTATAGTAAAATCAGATTATTTTATTGTCAATAAAAATGATTCAAAAGCCAACTAGATCTGGTAGAAATTGAGAGTTCATAAAATGTCATGTGGTGAAAGAATACAAAGTTTCAAATATAATCTAATTCAATCATGAAAAAGCCACTATGTACAAACACAGAAAAAACATTGGAAGAGAATATGAGAAAAATAGTAGTTAGGGCAGCAGGATTACTGCCAGATTTGTTGAGAAATGTCCTTTTGTAAGATTTCTAATTAATTTAATAACTTTCAATGGGTCATTAATTAAGGGTGGGTAAAAATTTGGGGGGGGGGGTTACTGGGGACTGAACTCAGGGGCACTTGGCCACTGAGCCACATCCCCAGCCCTATTTTGTATTTTATTTAGAGACAGGGTCTCACTGAGTTGCTTAGTGCCTCACCATTGCTGAGGCTGGCTTTGAACTTGTGATTCAGCCTGTCTTAACTCCTGTCTCAGCCTCCCGAGCCGCTGGGATTAGAGGTGTGTGCCACTGCGCCTGGCAGGACTAGGTAGAAATTTTTACACCCACAGGGAAGCTTAACTACTTGAGTCGAACCTAAAGAAAATGAATCACTATATTAAAAAAAAAAAAAAAAAAAAAACACTTATTCTACCTACTTAGCTTCTAGTGTCAATACCAAGAATTAAAAACATATGCCAAAAGGCCCAATAATTTATAATTTCACCAGTTATTAATTATTTTTGCACCCAGGGTCTTGCACATGCTAGGCAAGTGCTCCACCACTGAGCTACACCAAAGTTATTAATTTTAAAAATTAAATATTAAAGTAATTTTACCCAAAATAGTTCAGTTTGTATGTACTGGTGTTCTTCTAACACTAAGAACTAGGAAATGGAAAACGTACATAAATACCTTGCCAAAAAGACAATCTCTTTCTCTTTCCAACCAGACTGACAAGTCCCTATGAACCAGGGTCCTATGTGATTTGACTGAATACCCAGAACATGTAACACAGTGCCTGGCATGAGTCAGATGATCAACAAGTATTTGCTGATTAAATAAGACAAGCTGGGCTGCTCTCAACAGGGAACTGTGGCCTGAACACCCTTTCTTACAGGGAAGTCACCATACCCAATAAAGAGGGTATGCTTTATTTGCTATGCCAGGACATGGAGATATAGCTAAATATACAAAACTAGGTACTAGAACTATAAGCATTAAAATGGGATGCTACCTGTACCATACTGATCTCTTTGAGGAGGCTGTTCTTTTGAGCTTTATCCCATTTTTTAATTATAAATCTTCATTTTATACTGGGCACCAAAGCAAACATGTGATCCCAGCTATGTGGAAGGCTGAGGCAGGAGGAAAACAAGTTCAGCAACTTAACGAGACCTTATTTCAAAATAAAAAAGTAGAAAGGGCTGGAGATGTAGCTCAATGGTAGAGCACCCCTGGGTTCAATCCCCAGCACCACAAAAAATAAATAAAAATTAAAAAAAAAATCTTCATTTAAACTATAGTAGGACAGTAGGATAACTTATTTTAAAATCAAAATTAGGGGAAAAAAAGAGGTGAGAAATGAACTTCCTTCTAGGTGCTCTATAGCATTTAGGAAACAATACCTAGTTATCAAATTCAAGGTTGGGTCATTAATACTACCTCTCAAACTCTTTTCTTTTAGGGTACTTATTTATAATGGGCCAACAAAAAGGTGCAGGAATACAAATGCTGGATACAGTAAAAACCCAATCCCTAGTTGTATTTTCCTTGGGTCAGATAGCAATGTTAGAATGGCTCAAGCTGTAAAAAATTAGTAAAGTTTTAAATCTTTTATTATAATAGTTGACATTTATGATACTGTTTGAACACTTTATCATGGGGGAAAAAAAAGGAAATGATTAGGTAAAAGAGAATTTCACTGTGCTCCTGAATAGACAAGAACAAACTGTAGATGGAAATAAATTTAGAATTCTATGATCATTGTTAGAGAAAATTACTCAATCAATGATCTAAAGGTCTGGCATGCACAGTACAATTGTCACCACTCTCCCATAGGCACTATGCCATCAACCCACTAGACGGCGAGCTGTGGAGGGTGCCCAGAGGCTCAGGATCAGGGCCCTCGTCATAAACGTAAGTTATGACAATGAGGATGAGGATGGTGGTGGCGGTCTGCAGGAAGAGCACACTGAGATTCACTGTGGCCACCAACTGGAAACCACAGGGCTATGAAGAACACACTCCCCACCGTGCACACACAGACACACTCTTCTAAAAAGGCAACACTATGGCACCCAAGAAAAAGTGTTATGAAATATGTGCTCTGGGAATGAAGGAGCCAGGAAGTCCATGGGTCTACAAACCTGTGAGTGTTGAGAATCTGTCAGGCCCCAGATCATCTTTGTCTTTTTCTTGTTTTTCTTTCTTTCTAAATGGTATAGGAGCTGGAAATTAAATAAAGTCAGTAGTGTGACATATAACATACTGCACTACTTGGAAGTTAACTGGTGTGCCAACATTTCTAAGTGAAAGGAGGAGGAAAAGTTTAAAAGCTAAAAAATTCCCAAGCGTCGGCTGATAATCATTCTTAAAAAATAGCCCTGAAGGTTCTTAAAGAAGCTTTCAGAATCTGCCTAGAGTCATCCACCATAAGAAGAATAATTTAGGCGGGATCATGGGGACTAGATCAAAACCACTGCCTCTTAACCTCTCCGCAAATCAGCACAGTCAAAAACTCTTGCTTCATTCTTTCTTCCCCACCAAGTGGGCTTGAGTATGGCATGGAAGCAGCTCTCCTCAGTGCCTAGGTGCCACAGCACTGGGAGAGGCCTATGGAAGAGGTTCCTAGCTGCTGCTGATCTCTCCTTTCAAGAAGAGAGGTTTTTTTGCCAACTCAAATGATGCCAGGATATTCACACAAAAAAAGAAAACAATATTATACAACTACCTTCCAAAATAAACACTGCATAATACTTAGGGTATAAACATTTTCAATGAACACAGACATAAAAAGCTTAAATTTGTTCCAGGACTACAAAAGATGAATTTTCAATATTAAATTACCAATGGCATCCATTTTCCTGCAATAAATGATAGCAATACATTTGTCAACAGTCCAACATGTTTAACTTCAACAACATATGACCAGCATGACTTCCATTTATGAAACCACTACCATTTTCCTGCAAAGAATATTTCTAATCTTTGCCTTAGCATTCTTCTGAGTGAACCCATTTCCTACACTCGCAAAACAGCTACAAACTTAGGCCCATGAAGCCTCACAGAGGAGTTGAGATATTGGCTCTCCAAGAGAGATTTTGGGGTTTTGTTTCTTCTTGCTAATACAGTATTCTAAAATTTTATAATATTACCTTTAGGCATGGCTGAAACAAAACGTTTTCTCCACCAAGGTCTGTTCCTGTCTGACTTCTCGTCATCGCTATCTTTGCGTTCTTCAATCTGCAGAAAAAGTTTAATGCTTTATTTGGTGTTGATACCTATGGATAAGTTACTATAAAAAAGATTTCAGAAAGTCTATGAAATACAAACACCAGGCCTATGTGCCTTAAAGCAAAACTGTTCGTATTGCCATGTAGGTAAATTCTGGAACATGGAAGTTACCTCTCAAGCACTAGACTGTGATCTGCTTGAGGGTTTATCTCATTACTGTTAGTTAACTAGAAGCTTAAGGAAGAGCCTGATATAGAGTAGGAACTCCAAAAATACTTATGGAGGGCTGGGAATGTGGCTCAGTGGTAGAATATATACTTTGTATGTGTGAGACTCTGGATTCAATCCCTGACAACACACACACACAATAAAGAACAACAACAACAACAAAAAAAAACTGATGGATAAGTAAACACAGCTTAAATAAACTCTAGAGGGGTAGTAGAGATGGTGGAAGTAATAGTATTAATAATAAAACCAGGTGTGAACTGTGTGCAAAAAAATAGATATTATCTCATTTAATCCTCACAGTAGTCTTAGAGACAGGCCGTATTATTAGGGCTTTTTATAGATGAGAAATACATAGCTAAATGAGATTATCTCCCTATCTTCCCCAAGTTACACAGTCTGCATGAGGACAGCTAAGACTCAAACTTAGAACTAACGGACTTCAAAAAAATCCAGATTTGAGCTGGACATGGTAGTGCATGCCTATAATCCCAGCAACTCAGGAGGCTGAGGCAGAGGCAGGAGGATCTCAAGTTCAAGTCCAGTCTTAACAACTTAATGAGACCCTGTCTCAAATTTTATTTATTTATTTATGTATTTTTGGTGCTGGGTATTGAACCCAGGGATGCTCTGCCACTGAGCTACAACCCCAGCTCTTTTCATTTTTTTTGAGACAATGGTCTCACTAAATTTCTTAGGACCTGAATTGCTGAGGCTGGCCTTGAACTTGTGATCCTTCTGCCTCAGCATTCCCAGTCCTGGGATTATAGGTGTGCACCACTGAGCCTGGCTCAAAATTTAAAAGAAAGACTGGGGATATAGTTAATGGTAAAGCACCCCTTAATTCAATCACTGGTATGCTCCCCACCCATCAAAAAAGTCCTGGTTCTGATCACCATTATACAGAGTTATATTTAATTTTGTCATGTCAAAGAGAAAGGACTATAATTCCTTCACTAGCCTATGGTGTGACCTCACACAAATCTCTTAAATTTCTTTTCCTCACCTATAAAACTGGGGTTGAAAATACCTTCTCCAAGGGCATCTATGTGAATAGAGAATCAGACCCTAAGCAGAGAAATAGGGGCCTCTGTGCCAGGGAGAAGTTAGCAATAGTGATGGGAAATTAAATACATATAAGGCAGACTGATCAAATAAGTACATGAATAAAGAATAAGAATAGCAGGGTTCTGGATTGGGGCTGGAATTGTAGCTCAGTGGCAGAGCATCTGCCTAGCACATGTGAGGCACTGGATTCAATCCTTAGCAACACATAAAATAAACAAATAAAATAAAGGCATTCTGTCCATCTACAACAACAACGAAAAATTAAAAAAAAAAAAAAGAATAGCAGGGTTCTCACTATTGAAGAATGGAGTTATAAGCATGGAAGGAAAAAGATAAATGAATACACAGGTAAATGTGTAGATAGACAGACAGACACACACACACTCTCCCCCCCCCCCCTTTACCTAGCTTTGTCCAATGAGAGGTCCAGGGAACAGCAACATCTCTATAGAAATGGATGCTGATTGATCTCAATTTCTAAAAACTATTTTTCACTAAAAAGAACCAGGGCTCCTTGGAGAAATTACTGATTTCAGGACTAGAGCCGTCAAAGTACAATATAAGCTTGTAACATCTCATGCCAGGAAGCAAAAACAGAAACAAACTTAAAAAATGATGGAGACAAGTCAAAAGAACCCTGGAGTAGGCATGGTGGCGCACACCTATAAGTCCAGCAGCTCAGGAGGTTGAGACAGGAGGATCCCGGGTTCAAAGCCAGTCTCAGTAATTAAGCCAGGCACTAAGCAACTCAGTGAGACCCTGTCTCTAAATGAAATACAAAATAGGGCTGGGGATATGACTCAGTGGTCGAGTGCCCCTAAGTTTAATCCCCGGTACCCACCCCCCAAGAAAAAAAGAAAAGAAAAAGAACCCTGAAACCAGCTTGAAAGGTTTCTAACTAGCCAAATAGGGACAACTGGGCTTCAAAAATAAACAACACTAATAAACCCACTGACCACAAGAAAGAACCAGAAGACCATAAATATAATCGTAAGTATACAAATTTAAAATTTTTATAAATAGGATAGTTACATTTTTTCAAAGTGCCTCCCCCAAAATACTCATTCATTACAAAGGAAACAGAGCAACTTTCCAAGAGGTAAACCTTGGCAGATACCACCTTCAACAAATGATCCAAACGAACAAATTAAAACTGTGTACTCCTTAATTGGATGCAATGAAAAGAATGCAGTGACACCTTAGTGATAAGATTGCTAAAATAAATAAATAAATGAACTAAATTTAATTATGAGAAAACATCAAATTCAAACTAAGGGACATTTTAGAAAAGAATTGGCCTGCAAGTTTCAAGAGGATCAAGGTCATAAAAGTCAAGGAAAAACTGAAGAACTATTGTAGATTCAAAGAAACTAAAAAGGCATGACAACTAAAAGCAATGTGTCATTCTGAATCAGGTCCTTTTACAACAAATAACTGGAGACACACAAACAGGGGTGTGAGAATTAAATGGTAGTCATGTATCAGCATTCATCTCCTAATGTTTATGGTTGTTTTATGATGTGTAGAAGAATGTACTTATTTGTAGCAAACTTATTCTAAAGTTTTCAGAGGTGAGGGAGAATCAGGTTAGCTTCGAACTTACGCTCAAAAGGGGAAGAAGTGTTCTTTTGTTGTACATCCAATGTTTGTGTAACTTTACAATTATTTCAAAATTTAAAAATCATACTGCTAGGTGTGGTGGTGCGCATCTGTAATCCCAGAAGCTCAGGAGGCTGAGGCAGGAGGATCACAAGTTAAGGCCAGTCTCAGCAACTTAGCCAGACCCTTTTTAAAAAGAAAAAAAGGGGGTGGGGGGATGGGGGTTCTGAGATTGTGGCTCAGTGGTAGAGCACTTGCCTAGCATGTGCAAGGCACTGGGTTCGATCCTCAGCACCACATAAAAATATATAAATAAATAAAAGTTATTATGTCTATCGACCGATAGCTAAAAAAAATATTTAAGGGACTGGGATTGTGGCTCAGTGGTAGAGTGCTCGCCTACCATGCATGAAGCACTGGGTTTGATCCTCAGCACCACATAAATGTAAATAAAGATATTGTGTCCACCTAAAACTAAAAAACAAATATTAAAAAAAAATTAAAGGGCTGGGGATGTGGCTCAAGCGGTAACGCGCTCGCTCGCCTGGCATGCGTGCGGCCAGGGTTCGATCCTCAGCACCACATACAAATAAAGATGTTGTGTCCGCCAAAAACTAAAAAATAAATAGTAAAAAAATTCTCTCTCTCTCTCTAAAAAAAAAAAAAAAATTAAAAAAAGAAAAAGGGATGGGGATGTGGCTTAGTGATAAAGCGCCTCTAGGTTCAATCCCTAGTAACAAGAAAAAAAAAATCATACCTCATTTAGCCATCTCAGAGGGATACTGTGAGTTTTAAATGAAATTAGATACAAAAACTGCCTGGAGAAAAGTGAAGAATTATAAAAATACAAGATAGTATTATTATAAAACCAAAGCTATACAAATTTCCTATGGGTTGTGGCAATGGTCATACTAGTCTAACAGCTCATCTTTAGTGAGTATTACAGTCTATCCTTAATTTGGGAGTTACATATTCATGTTCATTTCAGAAATCTAGAGAAACTGGCAAGCAGAACTCTGAGCTGAGCACAATCAGCAAACTCTACATGGCTGTGTTCCCATACCTCTCCTCTTGAAGAGTCCTTACTCGGGGACGACGATGATGAGTGAGGTGCAGCCACCAAAGAAGTAGCACCAATGGCTGCAGCTGGAGGGAGTTCTCGCTCTTCATTCCCCGGACGACGGTTCCAGCTGGGGTCACTCATGGGTCTCCGGACAGAAGATACTATATCAGAGCTCCTGCTGCGAACTAGTCTCTCAGGGTAAGAATGCCTTTGCTTAAAAGCCTCCATTTCAGCTAGAGTTAACATGTGGGAACCAAAGTTGGGCAACCTGGCCTCATTTCCTCCCACTGCTCCTTCCAGGATCGGGGGGTCTGGGGGTGGATGTGATGGCCTGGCATAGTGAACCTTTGGCCTTACTACAGCAGAAGCCCCTGCAACACAGCAAAAAAGCTTTGCAGTCAAGACACAACCAATTCAATAAAGGCATTACCAAAAGAGTCTGGTTTCTTTCTTCTATGACAAGAGTCCAGAAGTTCCTTTCATTAGTTTACCTTCATGTGAAGACAGAGGATCAAACATGGCGAGCAGAGACTCTGCCTGAGAAGGAGGAGAGGTCAGCTGGTGGGCGCCTGGAACAAGAGGGCAAACTGTGAGACCACACTAGAAATCAAAGAGCTTCAATACACGAGTGAGTGGTCTAGTGTTCTTTATAGTTTTCTTTTTTTTTTTAAACAAATTTTATTTTTATATGACAATGGAATGCATTACAATTCCTATTACACATATAGAGCACAATTTTTCATATCTCTGGTTGTATACAAAGTATATTCACATCAATTCGTGTCTTCATTCATGTACTTTGGATAATAATGTTTATCCATTCCACCATCATTTCTAACCCCATGCCCCCTCCCTTCCCCTCTCATCCCTCTGCCCTATCTAGAGTTCATCTATGCCTCCCATGCTACCTCTCCTTACCCTACTATGAATCATTCAGCATTTGGCTATTTTTTTTTAAATTTTTTAATTTTATTTATTTTTTATGTGGTACTGAGGATCGAACCCAGCGCCTTGCACATGCAAGGGGCTGGGTTCGATCCTCGTACCTCATAAAAATAAATAAATAAAATAAAGGTATTATGTCCAACTGCAACTAAAAAAATTTTTTTAAAAAATTGAGGGTCACACCAGAAAAAAATGAAATTCTGATTATTTCAAACTCATTTCATTTTCATCTTCACACATAGATATTCATTACTTTAAGGTTTCTAGAATACATGTGCCTATTAATTCTAATGACCCAATGCTACTATGGTTAATACAGACAGCACAGGCCCAGAGACCTAAATTATTACACTGAGACTTACCTTCCCCCCTAGAAAAATAGGGAAATATTATCTATAGAAGATATATAAAAAAAGAATGGTAAAATTTGAAATCCTAATATTGCTCTCTGCAAATGATTTATTGATTTTATTAATGTATCTAAATATACCCATTAAATGGTAACATCAACTACCTTTCAAAATAAAAAATAACTATTTTCCAAAGTAATGAGAAGAATGGCACTGTTTAACATTTTTGAAAATTTCTTTAATGCATGGTTTAACAGAACCCAGTTGAATTCTCATATCTGCTTTGTTTGCTTTCTTTTAGGTGTAGCATTAGGGATTGAACTCTGGAACAGTCTACATCTGGGCTAGAGCTCCAGTGCCCCCAATCACCCCCGCTCTTTTTCTTTTTGAGACGGGGTATTACCAAGTTGCCCAGGCTGATCTTGAACTTGCAATCCTCCTGCCTCAGCCTCCCAAGTTACTGGGATTAAAGGTACACAACACCAGCATTTGAATCTCTGCTTTCAATGTGTTCGGTATGTGTTTTTGGTTGTAGTATATAAGAAAAAAACTCTGACTTCACACAGATATGTAGTTGGAAAAGGGATGATTTTTTTTTTTTTAATTGCAATTCTGGGGGGATCAAATCAGGGCCTTCCTGGCACATGTTAGGTAAATGCTCAACCACTGAACTATGATCCCCTGCATAAGATGATATATTAAATTGTGGATATTCTTTGATACTCTACCAAATCTTGAAAAGGGGTAGTTTTTTAAAAACCAGCTACAAGGTGGAAACTGAAATCAAATCAGTAAACTTTTATTCTCTATTACATTAAAGTTAACCGGTTTGTCTTACACTTTGAATGGATCTTGTAACTATGCATAATTTTACAAGCTCGTGAGTTGATCCTTTAGAAAATACTTTTTTAATAAGTTACATAGATCTTCCAAATGCTGGCATATTTCACCATGTAATATAAAAAGACATTGGTATAACCTCCAATCTCACCAAAAAGAATTTAAATAACAATGCTGTCAAACTCATGAAAGTGTATATAGGTTTCCAAAATTCTTAATTTTTATCTGTTTGAATTTTACCATTGGTACAAACTATACTAGTAATTTTCCTTGAAGTTAACAGGCTCACTTTGTTAATTTTCCAAAAAATGTTTGCTGAGTATATATTCATAAAACCACAGTTTGTCAGTTACTCAAGTAAAAATGTTTTTTCAAGAAAAATAAAACAACTGGCTGTTAAACTAACAGCTCAATCATATAAGTGCTCTTCCGTAAGACATCATATTTCAGAATGCAGCATTATAGGTATTTCTATTTCTTCACACAGAATATTAAAAAGATGTGTATTCACGGGTTGAAATGTAATGAAATAATATTTACTGCCAGGTGAGGGGGTGCATGCCTGTAATCCCAGCAACTCAGAAGGTTGAGGCAGGAGGATCACAAATTTGAGACAAACTTCAGCAATTTAGCAAGACACTGTTTCACAATAAAAAGAGCTAGGGATATAGCTAAGTGCTAGAGCATTTGCCTAGCATGTGTGAGGCCCTGGGTTCAATCCCCAGTACCACAGGGGAAAAGAGAGAGAGAGAGAAAAAGAACAAGCACAACAACAGTATATATAATTTGCTTCATTCAAAGACATCCATGATCAAAACTTCCCTTACTTGTAACTGTGAGTGAAGAATTCATGGTGCTGATATGGTTTGGTGCCCTTATTTCTTGCTAAGGCCCCAGCAAATTTTATCCACCTTTGCTTGTGTGCCACCAGTGCAAATAGCAACACCATGAAAAAGGACAATAAATTTTTTTTTAATTTTTTTTTTTTTTTTTTAGTTGTAGATGGACATAATACCTTTAGTTTTTATTTTTACATGCTTCAGGGATCGAACCCAGTGCCTCGTGAATGCTAGGCAAGTGCCTTACCACTGAGCCACAACCCCAGCCCCAGGACAATAAACTTTAATAAATAGTTTTGACCTCATATTCCCCTATTCTCAAAAGAGTCTTAAAGACCGTCAGTTGTCCACTTTGAGACTGCCGCTTTAAAACTATGGTTCTCAACTGGTGGCTATTTTTTTCCCCAAAGGGATCATTTAGCAATGACTGGAGATAATTTTGGTTGTCATGACTCTGGAGGGTGGCAGGCATGAACTACTGGAAGAGGTCAGGGATGCTTCAAATAATCCTATAACATGCAGGACAGGCTATCACAACAAAGAATTATCTGGCCCAAAATGTCAACAGTGTTGAGGTTTAAAAAGACCTGGGTTAGAAGTACTAGAGGTACAGGCTTGCCTGGACTGTGCAAAGCCCTGAGTTCAATCCCCAGCACCAAGAAAACAAAGCAAAAAACAATTCCAATTTAGAACAAGTGTAAAGAAAGAAAAGCTACTTCAAAACCCACAGTCCCACATATAAAACCACTGCTAGCATTCTGGTACTTCTTCCCAGTTCTTTTTCTATGCATATAGGTTTTCTTACCCCTACCCTGGAAAGGCTCAAATATGCAGAGTTTTTAATGCTTTATTACTTTAATTATAAAATTCTATAAAATATTTTCCCTGTAATATTATATTCAAGGTATTTCTCTAAGTTATTTCATATTCTTTAAGAGCATCTTAAAAACATCTGCATAAATTTTAATTAGTGGTTACTTAAAAATTCACTTAGTCATTCTGTTTTTCAATTATTGGTTACCATTTTCTACCAATATAAATGTTATAAAGGCCATCTTTGTGCATAAGAATTCTCCTTCTCCACATATGGAATTATTTTCTCATGACAGATTTCTAGAAGTAGACTAACCAGACAAAATTTAGAATACAAACACTGCAAGTCTTAAGTACATATTGACAAATTATGCCCTAAAGTGCTATACCAATTGGTATTATGACCAGCAATGTGGAAGAATGCCAGTTTCGACTACACATGAGATTGAAAAAAAATTTTTAAAAAGTCATTCTCATTTCCCCTTCTTACCATGAGTTATTTCATCCATGTCTGGACTAGTGACAGAATCTTTACCCCCAAAATCAGAGCTACACTCAGATCTTAGGTCTTCAATCTTATTAGGAATATCCTCAGAGGTTGCACTTATACCTTTAAGAAAAAAATAGTAAAAAATAAACATCAAGAAGGACAAAATAGCCACACAAAAAATATTTATAAAGTTTAAAGAAATGTAAACATTCTCAATTTATGTATGTCCCAGGTGTATACATGTGAGTTATTTAGAATTTATCCTTTATTATACCATTGCTCAAATATACTTATCTTGCTTTATACAGCATAATTAGAATTATCCTATGGTATCTAAATACTGTAGCAGAGGCTACCAAGAATGGAAACAGTTGTATAGGGATCATTTGCCAATTACTTCAACAGGCTCTAAAAGCCATTAAATTTTCAAAGATTAAAGGAGCCACAGAAATCACTTGGTTTCCTGGAAATTACTCAGCTCTCAAATAAAACATATCTCTTTGGCATCAACCTTACAAAGGGGGGCGGGGGGAGATAACACCTTCTAATTCCTAGACCGACCTTAAAACAAGACAGACATACCCGACACGACACTGAGGCCTGGTGTGCTGGGGCGGGAACTGACCTCCCTGACATCTGTATCATCAGATGTGCTGCCCAGTCCAGAACAGCTCTCCAGCTCTTGTAGGCGCTCCTCCTGCTTTAGGTCCGGGGCCTCTAAGCAAAAAACAGAAGCCACATCAGTGATTCTGTCAACATGCCACAATTTCAGCTTTTGTGACCTAGATAAACAAAGCTCACCAGGTATGAATGAAATCAGTATAAATAGCTTTCTAAGCATAGGCAAGTTAGCAAACTAGTTAGATTAAGTGTTAAAGAAGTTACAGTTGTGATTTCATCCCAATGTAAGTCAGTTTGTTGGGTTTCTAGATCACTATTATAAAGTATGCTCTTGGTTAATATGTAAAGTGGAAAAGAATATATGGAATAGCTTAGCAGTAAATCAACCAGCTCCTAAAAATGAACTTGTACTTAGATGGATACTTGATAGATGATGAGCTAATCCTACTGTCTTGTACTCATCTCCTAACAAGGTTAGCATGTCTGAATGCTTTAGTATAGCATTATAAAACATATCAGGATCACTTAATCATTCTTACACCAAATAAATCAAACAGAATGTAATGCAGAAATAGTTACTTATATTTGCATTCTGTAATTGACATTTAGTTGAAGGTAAAGATTTGTCTTCAAAATCAGAAAAAAGTAAGACTGTAATACATACATAAGAAAAAAGAAAAGTACAAAATACTTTATATATATTTATAAAAAAACCCTACACAGAAGAATGAATTCTTAGGAACACAGTGCTTCGACTTTAATTTATGTATTTTAAACTACATTAAACATCTTTTAAAGGGTAAAATGTTCCCCTAAGATAAACCTAGGCATTCTCACCAGGAAGTCAACCACTCAGGACCAGAACTATGTTGCTACTCTTACCTTGGGATAAGTTGGTGGGAGACACTAAACTCTGTGACCCATTTAGAACCTTAATGAGTTACAAACAATTGCTTCCAAAATAACTGAACACAGAAAGCACCTTTCATCTTAGTCTGTACTATCCAACAATGTGTCTTTTCTTTTTTAAAAAAATATTTTATTTTAGTTGTAGTTGGACACAATGTTTATTTTTATTTATTTATTTTTTTTATGCGGTGCTGAGGATCAAACCCAGGACCTTGCATGTGCTAAGCGAGCGCTCTACCACTGAGCCCCAGCCCCAGCCCCATGTCTGTCTTTCTTTTTTTTTTCAGCTTACTACAGTGTCTTTATTTATTTACTTTGTTTTAAATAAATGACAGTGGAATGCATTACAATTTATATTACACATACAGAGCACAATTTCCATGTCTTTTCTTAATGGGAGGAAAAAACTCTAATTTTCCATTTGAAATTCTTAGCAACGTGATTACTTGTCAAGTGTACATTTGACATAACATAGAAATTAGGAAACCTTATATTTAAAACTTCTGTGCAAATGAAAAAGCAAACAATGATAGCCTACTAACCTGAGTCACTTGGTAGTACCTCTACACTCCAAGCTTCACTTGTTGTCTCTGAGATGGTAGAACCAGTGCAGGGGTCAAGAAGTACTGACCCTGAACCTGGGAGGCACAGCAAACTGCCTAACATGTTCTCCGCGGCTGCACCTGTGTGATCAGTAGAGAGCAAAGTATGAAGAGAGATCTGATAAGAGGCAGTGATGCTGGGGGAAGGAAAAATATTAAGCAAGCAAACTTTATTTTCTACCCACAAAAAAGAAGCCAAGATGAGAGTGATTTCAGTTGGGCATACTTCTAACAACACAAAGTTCCTATTCTAGTCACAACAGCACAAACTCCTGTTCATCAGATTCCTCCTGCTCAGCCTTGATCCTCCACAGAGAAAACAAATTTGTATTTCAGCAAATTTTATATGTGTCCTAAAGTGCTTTCTAAAATTTATAGTCCTACAGGGATTACAAACACTCAAACAAATAGATTTAACCACAGAAAGTTATACTGGCCCAATATGGTTTCTTCTGGCACACTAGTCACATATTCAGAGCAATAAAATATATTTGCAGAAAAATACACAGCTCCTTTATACTACTCACTCAACTTCAAATATAGCTCATTGCTCAAATACTGCCAAGAATAATACTACTTTGGCATCTGGAACAAAGTAGTGCAAAACTAAATAAGAAATCTATTTACACTATTTAGGAATACAAATAGAATTAAATATTATTGTATGCCTGTGTTAAAAATACTCAAGAAGAGAATGCTCCGTACTTTTGATTAAACCTAGTAAAATAATGATTCTATTCCCTACATGAAAATATTTTGAAAGCAAGTGCATGTCTATAATCTCAGCTACTTGGGAGGCTGAGGCAGGAGGACCACAAGTTCACCAACCTGGGCAACTTATCAAGACCCTGTCTCAAAATAAAAATCAAAAGGGCTAGGATGGAGCTCAGGTGTAGAACTCTTGCCTAACATGATCAGGCACTGTATTCCATTCCCAATAATGAGGGGTAAAAGAGAAGAAGAAGAAGTTACAAGTGAAGTTACCTTTTAAAGATAAATCACAAAAGAACTGCAAATAATAGGGGGCCAGGAGATTAAATGCAGAAAGGAAAAACACTACCTATATTTAGATAAACAAAAAAGTAGCCAAATATCTCGTTCCGTATAGTTAACCAGTTTCCCAGTTAGTGCTAACACATCTGTGTTAACACTCTAATCCATGAAGGGTGGGTGAATCTGAATAACTCAGTAGCAATCTTCCAGAGACACCGAATAGCAGTTACCTGCAATTTCTTGCAAGCGATCTTCATCGATGTTAGGGTCAAAGTCACTTCCCAAGACATCTGTACTCCAGGTCTCACTCACTGTTTCTGATATGTCCCTATCATCTGTTAGTCCCATCATGTCACGAATCTCAAACTTCCTTAGCTTATCATCAAGATTATCTTGTGTCGTAGCTAACAAAAACAGAATTAAGCACTTTGACAATGGAAGCACAGCTATGATTTTTTTAATTAACATTTTAATCAACTTTAAAGAACTTTACATATTTGAATTTGAAGTTACATATTTTATCATTATTAGGCATGTATTACCATACCATTCTACACCTAACTGGGCCAGTCTGTTTCCCACTGACCAACTGATCCTTAGTTAAGATTAGCAGAGCTCCATGCCACCACCACTGGTGACTATAGATGTCTGAGTGAGCCCAATGCAAGTGAGAAAAACCAACCAGTTGACACAGATCTAAGAGCAAAAATATGTTTTGAGGTGGTTTACTGTGCAAGATTAGTGTAGTAATAATTAGCTGATAAACACACACTAAAAATGTTTTTCACTCGACTTGGATAATTGCTATTTACTTTCTAGAGTTTTCATTCCTACCCAGACCAATTTTTCCTCAATTCACATTTTTTTCTTTGTTTTTGTTTTTGGTGCTAGAGACTTGGACTGAACCTACGGTCTTGTGTCAACTCACTTCTTAGAATTTCACAAAATGTAAACTGCCAACTGCCTACATCCAGATCACCCAGAAAGCTTGTTAAAGAGATAATGTTCATTCAGCTTGTCATAAACTAATATTATTTTTAAGTTTTTCTGTTATTTGCAGCAAATTTAATTTTAATTGATACATTGATGAACTGATCCTGTAAAACACAGCAATGCTTCTACTCAAGCCACACAGTCAAATGGCAACATTCTTTTCTTTTCTAAACATGGACTAAACCAGGGGCTGGGGCTGTAGTTCAGTGGCAGAGTGCTTGCCTAGCTCATGTGAGGCATTAGGTTCAATCCTCAGCACCACATAAAAATAAGTAAAATAAAGGTACTATGTCCATCTGCAACTACAAAAGATTTTTTTTTTTTTTTTTTTTTTAATATTTATTTATTAGTTCTCGGCAGACACAACATCTTTGTTTTGCATGTGGTGCTGAGGATCGAACCCCGGGCCGCACGCATGCCAGGCAATCGCGCTACCGCTTGAGCCACATCTCCAGCCCTACAAAAGATTTTTTAAAAAATGAATTGAAGCAAGATTTCTAGAAGTAAAGCTTGGGAAATAAAAACTTGTAAATGCTCCCCATGTACACTAAAGTCTAAGAATCACTGCCTCCAGCCTACTTCAGGGTATGTGCCCTAAACTAGAAATCTTACAATGAACAAATCCAAAAAATGTTTCAAATTAATCTTCCCTAAAGCACTAGAGTAATCCCCCACAACCCCTCATTTTCATTAAACCAAAAACTTTCAATGTTTTTAGGTTTCAATTCAGGTATAGACTTCCTCCTCTCCAGATCTCTCCCATTTTTTAATCTTTACCTCCTCACTCATTGCTCTACTTAACACCTGAGTAAGCACTATGGCTTCACTTCTTTTAATTGTTTGTATACTGCTCCTTTTTCCTACTCCTACCCACTGTCACTGGCCTTCAGGATAGTGTGTTCTTCCAATGTTTTTATCTATACCTCAATGACCAAAACAGTCTTCCCATATGTTCAATCATTTGTGTACCATTCTTGCCCTATTCTAAATTCCTTGAGCCCTAAGTATTTATTGTCATGTTCCTTAAGTATGACAGAATTGAGATAATATAACTGTATTAAAAATAATTCCTACTGGTGTATATAATTTGAACCTAAACAATTCACTTAAAAATTTAAACATTTTTTTTAACCTTTATTTTGTTTAGTTTTTTTATGTGGTACTGGGGATTGAACCCAGTGCCTCACTCATACTAGGCAAGTGCTCTACAACTGAGCTATAACCCCAGCCTGACAATTTAAACATATTTTTATAAGAAATAAAGGAACACGAATAAATACAAGTTTAACAGTCATTATGTAATGAAATTTACTCTCTTAGTGAACACAGGCAACTTCTATGCAAACATATTGCTCACCTTGCAATCAGGTGAATTCTTTTCTACTTGTACAACTGTGTTCAATTTCACCTTACCTTGTTCATGTTCTAACAGCTGTAGAGCTTCAACTCCATTACTCCCAGAAGGTCCTGCTCCAAGTTCTGATACAGACTCTCCTTCCAGGTCTAGAGAGGACACTGAATTGGACCGATTTGAAGGACCTAGAGAAATGTTTACCCTATGAGCAATCTTTAAAACATTCATGAGTCACCATGCAATTTTCATGCCTTGATAAGAGATTAAATACTAAAGTGTTTTTAAAAATATACATGCCCTTTGAGAGAGCAATTCTGCATCTAGGAATTCATCCTAAGGAACTTATCAAAAATTAAGCAGGGTGTGGCTGAGGCAAGAGTATCACAAGTTCAAGGCCAGCCTTAGCAACTCTGCAAGACCCTCAGTAATTTAGCAAGACCCAGGGATGTGGCTCAGTGGTAAAGCACCCCTGGGTTCAATCTCTAATCCCTCTCACCCCCCCCCCAAAAAATAATCTAAGATGGCTTGTTGCAGAACTTATAATGTCTAAAAAGTAGAAGCAATCCACTCATTTACTCAGAAGAATGCTGAAATAAATTATCATATGCCCATTTGAAGTTAGAGAAAAATGCCATTTGAAATCATGTTATTCAAGAATGTAAAATTACAAAAGGACATGTTAATGTTATTAAACAAAAAAGGTTATGAACTATCATTTTCTTGCTACAAATAAGTCAAAGTGTTAACTAATATTAACAGAATGGTAAGATTATAGATGATTAGATCTCTTTTCTAAAATGAATATGTTATTGAAGCTGAGGTTGTGGCTTAGTGATAGAGCACTTGCCTGGCATGTGTGAGACACTGGGTTTGATGCTCAGCACCACATATAAATAATGAATAAAATTAAAGTCCATCAACATTTTTAAAAAGATATTAAAAATAAATAAATAAATTGAATATGTTCTATATTACTTTTGAAAATTTAGAAAAAAAGGAGAAGTAATTACGATTACTTCTTTAAAGTTTATTTATTTTAGTTGTTGATGAACCTTTATTTTTTTTATTTATATGTGGTGTTAAGAATCAAACCCAGTGCCTCATACATTCGAGGCAAGCGCTCTACCACTGGGTCACAACTCCAGCCCTATATTTACTTTTTTTTTTTTTTTAATACTTTTAGTTGCCAATGGACACAATACCTTTATTTTGCTTATTTATTTTTATGTGTTGCTAAGGATCGAACCCAGTGCCTCACACATTCTAGGCAAGTGCTCTACCACTTAGCTACAACCCTATCCCCCTACATTTACTCTTAAATGTTAGCAAACTTGGGCTTCTTTTCATTAAAAAAGAAAATTTGTCCTAATATGTAGAATGACATATTCTCACTTAACAATCTTAGCTTTTAATTTTCTTTCTTAATTCCTATTTCCATTGTTTCTTACTTTATGAAGGTGTGTGTGAACAGAGGAATGCAGAACATTAAAAGTATATACAACATCCTGAAATACTAGTTAGTCCATTTTTCCCCATGTGTACATGCATTATATCCTTCTAAAGGAGCGCTATAAGCTTTGGTATATATTTATACTGAGAAACAAAACTTGCTATTATTCTATTTAAGTCTAAATAAAGACTTATATCTTCTTCATTTTATATGACTAACAGCCTCTTGCAATCTTAATTTTATTCAGGATACAATCTTTACAGCCAACTGTTCAAGCTCATTAGAGGAAAATTTCATTACTCTCCTCAGTGAGAGGCACAGATGGTATATTATAATTTATAAGGCTCCTTTAAAGAACACAAAACAAAGTATTACTTGAATCACACAACTCCTTGAATGAAGTAACCCTTCACCTTCAGATATGCCTTCCAGATTATCACTGCAGAGGGAAAAGCGCAAGGTTTTATCAGGTTTACCGTGGAGTTTGTTTTCATCAACAGGGACATCTCCTTGTCCTCCATCGGAAAGCTGCATGTTTAGGACCTGAAAAACAAAACATCAACTTTGGTTTATTACAAATTAAAGACTGCTAATAAAATAAACCACAGCAAATTCATATTTCAGTTCTTCTTTTTTTTTAATATTTATTTATTTATTTATTTTAGTTTTTGGCGGACACAACATCTTCGTTTGTATGTGGTGCTGAGGATCAAACCCAGGCCGCACGCATGCCAGGCGAGCACGCTACCGCTTGAGCCACATCCCCAGCCCCAGTTCTTCTTAAATTACCATTTTTAACTAAAACTCATTTATAATGTCTATCAAGCTTTTAAAAGAGTATTTTGGGGATGGGGTGTACCAGGGATTGAACTCAGGGGCACTCAACCACTGAGCCACATCCCTAGCCCTATTTTGTATTTTATTTAGAGACAGGGTCTCACTGAGTTTCTAAGTGCCTCACTTTTTTCTGGGCTGGCTTTGAACTTTTGATCCTCCTGTCTCAGGCTCCCAAGCCACTGAGATTACAGGCATGCACCACCGTACCCAGCTCTACACGCTTTTAAATCCCATAGAACAAAAAGTCTATCAGTTGAGGGCTAGCCTTGCCTAGCATGCATGAGACACTTAGCACCATATATATATAAACAAATAAAATAAAGGTATTAAAAATATAATAACATTATTTTTTTTAAAAGTCTATCACTTGAAACAATGGAAGCTATGCCTTTCCATTATTCCACTAGTGCCACAGACTGAACAATGAGACATAGGATGAACAGTAAGTAAGACTATAGATCAGAAAGCTTCAGTCTTTCTTTGTCTGTATCATGTCATGTGTGACCACAGAGGTCCATTCTGTTAGCTTAGTGGTCAGCAAGTGATTTGGCAGATATAACACCTGGAATACAAAACAAAAACAACTGAAAACCTTCCCAAGTCACTGCAAACTGGCTCTGATTGGGTGCTTCTTCCACCCTTAACCAGACAGTCTGCAAATACATCTTACCCTTCACCATCTGCTGGTAGTCTTCTATAGTCTTTCACAAGTGTATTTATAGCCTTCCAGTCCCTGGATCATGAGAGTTTTTCAATGCCCTATATCTCAAATTATGTCTTTCCCTGATCTTTTACTTCAGCTTTTTCATCTGTCTGCTGCTTTTGAAGCTTTTTTTCTTTTTTGGTGGTGGTGATAGGGATTGAACCAAGGGCCTCGTGCATTGTTAAGTATACACTTTACAACTGAGCTACATCCTCAGCCTCTCCATGCTTTTGACAAATGCCAACTGTGAAAGTGCTACAGCTCTGGGGAACATCAGAGGCAGGAGAAACAAAAGCAAGCCCTTGAGCTGATCATTGAAGGATCCACCAGACAGATAAAACTCACAATGATGATTCTTTGAAAATAAGGTCCATATTGCTCTCTTAGACACTAAAAAACTGCACAAGAACGAACACAAGCTGCTCTCTTCAAGGCAGCCACTGAATTGGGGATGGGGATGGTAATTGGGTGAGGTAAAATGTCACAGAGGTCTCTTATAAAACATTTTTTTTTCCTTACTTAAGCATTCCACTGTCGTTATAAGTCCCCTGACCAAACACACACATACTATGGACTGAGCCTAGGGCCTTGAACCTGAATGTTCTATCACTGAACTACACTTGCACTATTTCTTAATCTAAGTTTTGAGACAAGGTCTCACTGTATTTCTGAGGCTGGCCTCAAACTTGTGAACCTCCTGGCTCAATTTCCCAAGTAGTCGGGATTACAGGTGTATAACATTAGCTAACAGAGACAAAAATTCTTGAGGTATACTTTCTATTCTTTGGCTGATCAGGAAAAAAAATGGAAGAGATAACTGAAAAGAAAACCAAGAAAGCTGGACATGATGGAGCATACCTGTAATCCCAGCTACTTGGGAGGATGAGGCAGGAGGATTGCATATTTAAGGCTAGCCTCAGCAATCTTGCCTCAGTATAAAAAATTAAAAGGGCTGGGTGTGTAGTTTAGTGGTTCAGTGTCCCTGGATTCAATCCCCAGTACTGGGATGGGAGGGGGAAGACTTTTTAGCTCTGTAAAGCAGGAATACCACTAATGTATCACCAGAAAATAAATAAATAAATGGGTGGATGGATGAATGAATGAATAAATAAATAAATAAATACAGATCATTTTCTACAAACCACTGGAAAAGTCTCTTCAATTTCCACACTACAATTTCTTGGATTCCTGGCTCTTCTACTACTAGGAAAATTCCTTTTGAGGTGGGTCTGTTCAGTAACTTCAGTGCCATAGATGTATGTAATGTGAAGGGCTCCCTATGCAACTGTTTTTAACAAGCTTGGCTTCTGATTATGTGTCATCAGTAGACCCATTACAGATAATGAAGAATACATATTAATACATATTAAATACATTACATATTAAATAAAACTTTAAAGTTTTTCCAGAATTCATATGGTAAAATCCTAACCTAACAAGATGATGTAAGTATTAGGAGGTGGGGCCTCTGGGTGGGCAACTGGATCATGCATAGGATTCATGCCTTGTAAAACAGGCCCAACGAGTTCATTTGCCCCTTCCATCATGTAAAGACACAGTGCAGAGGCACCATCCATGAACCAGGAATTGGACTCATAAAACACTGAATCTACCTTAATCTCAGAATTTCCACCATTCAGAACTCTGAGAAATAAATTTATTATTGATAAGCCATCCAACCTCTAGTGTTTTGTTATAGCAGCCTGAACAGATTAACATATAAATATTGATTTATTGAAGCAAGTGACCATTAATTTGAAGAAAGTAATTAAATTTCTTAATATTAATAGTTGTTAAGTAATTATAGCCATAGATTCATACCTCATTTTCTGACATCATCCCTGGAGTAAGCTGGGGACCTGTCCCTAAGGAAATGACCAACACTTCTTCTGGTTGGACCTCCTGGATGGTTTCTTGAGATGATCCTTCATGGTCCATATGTAGGTCCATTAGCATATTAGTGCGGCTTCTGCTCCGAGTTGCTAACAATTCAAATAAAACCAAATAATTTAAACAAAAAGTCAGAATAAAGAAAATAGCACAATGAATAAAAAAAATGTTTTAGTGTCAAACATTTGCACATGCACAAAGACTGATGAAAACAAGGATAAAAAGAAGCAAAACAAAACTAAAAATTAGAATCAATTACTCCATTGATGACTATCATACAGATTCTCCTCCAAAACTTATAATCAGAAACAATAATCCACTGGACAGGGAGTACCACATATGATCACATCCACAGTCCAGCAAAACATGCCTATCGATTAAGACTTTTGGATAACAAGAAGAGCACTACCTTATTTCTTTTCAGAAAACCTTCACTATTTTTCCTATAAAATGATTAACTTCCACAGGCTTCCCATAGTATTAACTGAACTTATAAGTATTAGAAACTTTCATGTGGAGCTAGATGTGGTGGCACACGCGTGTAATTCCAGCAAATCTGGAGACTGGGGCAGGAGGATCACAAGTTCAAGGCCAGCCTCAGCAATCTTAGCGATACCCTGTCTCAAATAAAAAAAAATAAAAAGGACCAGGGATGTAACTCAGAGGTAAAGTGCCCCTGGCTTTAATACACACTCAGAAAAAAATAAAAAGTAAAGAAATACTTTCATGTGGAAACATGATAATCATATAAAGTAATATACTTTAGACAATTACAGACAAAACCACAGTTTTTGAAAGCACATTTTTTTTTTCTGAAATGTATTAACCACTTTTCAGAGATGCAAAAGAGAAGCTCTTCCTATTTTTGAATATGAGGTCTTTATGAGGTCTTTTCTGCTTTATGGAAACATTTTGAATAAATAAAGGATTCAATTATTTTTGCTGTTTTCCCTTACCTATAATTAAACAAACAATACTTCAGAAAAAAAAAAAAAACTGCATATCTTTTAAGAACTTTTTGGGGGCTGGGATTGTGGCTCAGTGGTAGAGTGCTTGCCTAGCATACACGTGGCCCTGGGTTCGATCCTCAGCACCACATAAAAATAAATGAATGGAATAAAGGTATTGTGTCCAACTACAACTAAAAAAAAAAAAAAAAAGAACTTTTTGGGGAGGCTGGTACTGGGGACTAAACCCAGGGCCTTGTACTCTACCAGTAAGATACCTCCCAAGCATATCTACTTTTTTTTTTTTTTAATGGTACCAGGGATTGAACTCAAGGGCACTCAACCACTGAACCACATCCCCAGCCCTATTTTGTATTTTATTTAGAGATAGGGTCTCACTGAGTTGTTTAGTGCCTTGCCATTCCTGAGGCTGGCTTTGAACTGGTGATGCTACTGCCTCAGCCTCCTAAGCTGCTGGGATTACAGGTGTGTGCCAATGCACCAGCTCCCAAGCATATCTTTTAAGAACTTTTAGACATAAAACATTTAGATTGCTTATGACAAGTTCTCTAAGAGTTTTGGTCTTCTGTGATAAGTTTCCATTTTTCTCAGAGCAATAAAATTAAATTCAGCTAGAATACTAAATAGAAATTATCTTTCATTGCAAAATAATTAAAACACACATAAAACAAAAACACTTTATAGAAACAAAAATCTTTCAACTTCACTTTGAGTAAAATCTGACCTCCTTGAAGACAGAAAGAGGCAGAAATATAAACAATTGTCTTTAATTCAGAATGTTGTACATCAGTTCATTCACTACTTTTAGTTTGACACTTTAGGACACATATCAATTTCCAAGAGTCTAAAATAGGCCTATTCACAACTTTATTTGATGTCTTTCACAATCTTCTACTGAATTGTGAACTTAAATTCAACTTCATGAGCAAGTCTATGAATTTAAACTTTATAACTTACATAAATGCAAGTAATCAAATTTCAAGTAGCAACTTAATAAACAGCAAAAGCAACATGCACACCGAACATACTTGTAAACACTATTTCTTAAATAAAAGTTATATAAGAGAAAGAACAGCCTGTTACCCACCAAATGGGGTTACTAGTGTAATATGAGCAGTAAGATTGGTGGCTGAGGAATCCCAGGCAGTGATGGCTGCTAACTGTTGTCCTGGGTTGCGAAAACATTAAATAGAAAGAAAATCAGCCCTTTGAAGAACAGATACATTTTTTTTTTTAAATATTTATTTTTAGTTCTCGGAGGACACAACATCTTTGTATGTGGTGCTGAGGATCGAACCTGGGCCACACGCATGCCAGGCGAGCGCGCTACCCGCTGGAGCCACATCCCCAGTCCCCAACATTTTTTAAAGTATGCAATAAATGCAATGACCAGGACATGTGGCTATACAAAACAATACAATATTTTAAATCTCTTTTCCATTAAACACAATTTTAATGACACTTTCAGATGTAGGAAATGAAAAAAACTAATGCACAGCAATAGACAATGTGTGTGTGGGGGGTCTCTTTATTTACCCAAAATTGTGTAGTTCTTCATGTTAAGAGAATAAAAATAGCCCATATTATTAAAGATTACTAAGTATAAAAATGTTATTTTTTTCTATTTTTAACTAGAGCTGACATTTTGAGATGCAGAAAACCAGACTTGAAGAATCTGAAATCATATGCCTGATGATCTAATTCCATATTATATTAAATGTAAGGTACATTAATTTTAAGAAGTTGTTCTTAACAAATCAGCTCATGGAAGTTTAAAAAATAAAATTCCATTCTTCAAAATGCATAAGTTATAACAGCTACTCATATTCCTACATGTTGCTGACCTCCTCATCCTTACAAAATACTCTGCTCCTAAATACTTTCCCTGCTTGTTTACTCTAACTTTATTCATCCCTCAAGAGAGAGTGTCAACTTCAAGATCCTCTCTTATACTACCACCATTTGGATAAATTAGTATCCTCATGCTTATCTCCAGCAGAACACCTTAGTAATTTGAAACACACTGGTCTTCTTCCAAACTACGTATCAGCAGCTAACTTAAGAGTATGGGTGTGTCCTAATGGTCTTTTTATCCCCAGGGCCTAACACAGTGCTTCATGTGCAAAGCAGATATCAGCTGTCCTCATAGGATGCTTCCATGGCTTAAATAACATTTATAAATGTCTTACCTAGTATCTGGTACATTCTACATGCTCAATTAATTTTTGTGTATATGTAAGTAGATGGATAATAAATGTTTGCTAAGTGAATAAAGCTTAATAAACATAATTCTTAAATGAATAAATAAGATAAAGTGAAACTTTTGCTTTATAACATTAAGATATTTTAGCTGAACTGCTAAGAAACTGATTAGTAAGGAAAATAATGGAAAACAGTAATTATTATTTTCCACCTAATTAATGCAAACTTCTAACAGAATATTACTTATTACATTATTACATTATTTAGAACTTTACAGAAAGGAAACTGCTACCTAACTAGAATAATGATTACTTTTAAGAAATGACATTTTCTATGTCTAGATTAAAGACTGATGATAAACCTTAACTAATCTTGTATAATTTTTAAAAACTGAAATACTATCAGTAAACATGGAAAAAAAGAATTTTTCAAAGTATTTAAAACTATATTCTAAAACAAAGCAATAACAGGGGCTAATGAAGAAATACTGAATTTAAAGAAAACTCCAATATGAGAAAGTCTCATTACCTATAGGTAATCGATTCTTTTTATTTGCTGGAGTGGTTGCTGGGGAGAGCTGAGGGGTATTATAAGGAGTCATTTCTAAACTGCTGCTTTTTCCTGGCTTAGCCTGGGGTAGATTTGCCAATAAATTGTCAAGAGCCATTCTATCTTCTCTCAGTTGATCTCCAGACATCACACTCTTCATGAAATTTACCTGGCAAAAGTAAAAAAAACACTGGCTAGTGAAATCAATTTTTCAAACAGAATTTATATTTCTCACATAATGTACTCATCTATGACTCTGTGCATGCTTAGCTAAAATAATTTTGAGAAAAATTCTATAAAAGAATAAAAGCCATTACCAGAGTAATAAGCTGACTGTAGGTTATATAAACCACAGTTCTGCTCAACCCTTCCAGAAGATTAACAGAGGACATTGGAGGGGTCTCCACTGCACGGCCCCCAATCACAACATCAAGGAAAGCAGCAACACAGCTCTGTTAAAACAGAAAAATATCAAAGTGAAAAATTTCCCCTTTAAAATACTGGAACAAAATTTCTGATTAAGGTAGCATAAGCAAAGTTTAATTTAATAAAAATTATTTTAAACTCAATTTAAAAAGATGAATCTCTTTATATAATGGTAAAGAATAATCTCAAGATATTCAGGCAAGGAAAACAAATATAACAGGGAACATTGTCTACATATGCCATTTCTGAAAAAGAGAGAGGTGGTGAGTGGGACAGCATATGTAAGAATATGCATATATACCTAGACCTTTAGGATACACAAAAAAAATGGATAACTTCAAGAATATTTTGAAGAAGGAGGTTGGAGATGAGAGGTGAAAGGGAAATTTCACAGAATAACCTTTAAACTGAAAACCAGGATGAATGAATATCCTACTCAAAATCTGACCAGTGAAATTTTTATTTAACTAACTGAATAATATTATAAATGTTAATTTATGAAATACGCTAAATATTATAAGATTTTTGTGATTGATATATCCATAGGTTGGTTTAGTGATAATTTTTTGAGGCCAGCCTCCACAATTTGGCTGGTTTAGTAAAATTTAAAATAAAATAATCTTAATAGTTCTTTCATTCTCATTAGAACGACATCTCTCCAATAAATCTGTAAAGGAGATAGTAATCTTTAGTGGAATCTTCCTGTTATGAGGAAGATTCCACTAAAAATTCACATGTAAATCAATGCGAAGAAGGTTCAGAGGAGAAATGATTGGGTTGTAAGAGTCTTGACCCAATCTCTGATAGGGATTAACAACATAACTGAAGGGATAGGGTGTGGCAGAAGGAGGTAAGAACTGGGGCATGGCTATGGGATATGTATTTTTTATCTCCAGAGGGGAGTCTCTGCTTCTTGATCACCATGATGTGAGCTGCTTCCCTCTGCCACAAATTCCATGATGTTCTGCCTCATCTCAAGCTCTGAGGAATAGAATGCCAATCTTGTATGGACTAAGACCTCCAAAACCATGAGTCCTCAAATAAACTCTTCTTCCTCTATAATTGTGCTGGTCAGGTTCTTTAGCCACAGCAGCAAAGAAGCAGACTAAAACCCTTCCTAAATTTAAAATGCTGCTGATTCAAATACTGTAGCTAATTAAAAAGCTAATTAACCACTGTATTTATTAGTTTACACATCCTCTAAGGACAAGATTTAAGAAAGAGAAAAGTTAAGATCAATGATACTTTGCCAGAATTTTCTACAAACAGTATTTCACATGGCACAATATTAATTCTTACTTTGTCAAATTTTCCAAGGCTGCTTTTTGTCCGAGGATCTCCCTCTTCAGAGCCAGTCATTGCTAACTGCTGCAGAAGGCGGCCAACCTGCAACCCAAAGCAGTGGTGGGCAGACACAGGCTACAGATACTTATGAATTCTGCTCTATGAAAGTACTCCTGTTCTATTCTAAAATTCTGTTTCATAATAACATTCAGACTCACCCAACCAGGCATACAAAATAGTGTCCCCTATAAAATGTGTATCTTGTCTATGTTAACTTTTACTATTTTCAGATTAAGTGTTATAAAGAGGAGTAGAAAATCTTGCTGTAATTTCTCTTTAACACAACATATCAACATGATAGGAAATTAAAAGTACATTTGTTTCTCATAATGTACTTTCATGTGTTAGGAAAATTTTAAAATAATTTATAAAGAATGGGGGCTGGGGATGTGGCTCAAGCGGTAGCACGCTCGCATGGCATGCGTGCGGCCCGGGTTCAATCCTCAGCACCACATACAAATAAAAATGTTGTGTCCACCGAAAACTAAAAAATAAATATTAAAATTATTAAAAAAAACAACTTTTATTAAAAAAAAAAAAAGAATGGGCTGGGGATGTGGCTCAAGCGGTAGCGCGCTCGCCTGGCATGTGTGCGGCCCAGGTTCGATCCTCAGCATCACATACAAACAAAGATGTTGTGTCCGCCGAAAACTAAAAAAATAAATATTAAAAAAAAAATTCTCTCTCTCTCTCTCTCCCCCCCACTCTCTCTCTCTTAAAAAAAATAAATTATAAAGAATGACTCACTATTGCTGAGGATATAGCTCAGTTGGTAGAGTGCTTGCCTCACATGCACAAGGCCCTGGGTTCAATCCCCGGCACCACACACAAAAAAGAGAATGACTCACTAAACTACTTCAAGGTAACATGAAGGACTTTTCCCTATAGAGTCCACAAAGCACTTATGATAGAAGTTTTTGGGTTTTTTTGCTTTGTTTTGCAGCACTGGGGATTAAACCCAGGGGCACTCTATCACTGAGCTATATCTTCAGCCTTTTTTATTTTTGTTTTGAGACAGGGTCTTGCCAAATTGTGGAGGATAGCCTCAAACCTGCATTTCTTTTGTCTTAGTCTTCCCAGTAGCTGGATTACAGGTGTGCACCACTGTGCCCAGATAAAGTAGAATATTCTTTTTCTAGATTTAAATGCAAACAATTTGGGGCTGGGGTTGTGGCTCAGTGGTGGCGCACTAATCTGGCATGCGTGAGGCACTGGGTTCAATCCTCAGCACCACATAAAAATAAAATAAAGATATTGTGTCCATCTAAACCTAAAAAATAAATATTTAAAAATAAATAAATAAATAGATAAAATAAAGGTATTGTGTCCATCTACAACTAAAAAAAATTTTTTTTTTAAATGCAAACAGGGGCTGGGGTTGTGGCTCAGTGGTAGAGTGCTCACCTAGCACGTGTGAAGCCCTGGGTTTGATCCTCATGACCACATAAAAATAAATAAAATAAACGTATTCTGTCCAACTATAACTAAAAAATAATTTTTAAAAAAATGCAAACAATTCCCACAAAACATAAGCTGTTAGATAAATACTAATTCATAGAGCAAGTTCCTTATTGCCAAAAATGAATTATTAATCTATTCTCTTTAAGGACTCTGTGTAGAAAGTTAACATCATTAGAGCTTTATCTTCTTAGCATCTGGGATAACCCTCTTTTCACTCATTTTGGAAATATGCTATTCAGTATGTACTAGAATGATGAAAATAAAATTACAAATGCTATCATGAGGAAACATGTAACATTTACAGAAGACAAAAAATTAAAAATTTATTTCAGGGATTTCTATATAATGAATTGCTAAATTCCCAAGATGATAAAACTGATCATGAAAAAAGGCTTATTACTACCTTAAAAAAAAAAATTCCAATGATAGTCTATTCTAAACAAACCAAATTTCTTTGTCACAGTATTTTGGGGGGATAAAATGATTAGAAGACTTGTAGAGCACATGCTGAGCACTTGCTTAGCATGTATGAGGCCTTGGGGTCAACACCCAGCACCAAAAGAAAAAGGAAATCTTCTACAGAAACAACATGATTTCAATACTTCAGATGATTAAAATCCTTTATTTGAAACTCTTAGAGCTAAAAGAGCTTCAGACTTCAGAATTTAAGAGATTTTCGAAAGGTAATTTAGTGTATATATGCAGAACATACAGTATATAGGGTGGTGGCATCCTATAGTCAAACACATTAACATATCTGCAACAAGTATCTGCTAGCACTAAAAGGAATATCAGGACTGAGAGTGCTTGCCTAACACTCAGGGTCCTGAGTTCCATCCCCAGCACTGCAAAAAATAATAATAAATAATAATAAAAGGAATACCAATTTTAAATAGCCTTGTGTTAGTTCAGTTCAGGTTTTGCTCCAGCAAATGAAGTACAAAAGACATTCTCAGTTTTTAATCATTCTGGATTTTGAAATTATAGAACCAGGATGGTAGAACTGTCTCAGAAAATCGAATCAACTATATATTTAAGACTGTGAGGGCTGGGGATGTGGCTCAAGTGGTAGCACGCTGGCCTGGCATGCGCAAGGCACTGGGTTCAATTATCAGCACCACATAAAAATAAATAAAGATACTGTGTCCACCTAAAAAAAATAAATAAATATATAAAAAAAGAGTGTGAGGATTCCATTTTAAAATTAAACCCAAATTTTTTAATGACTACATTATTTTAAATCTCAATATGACTGCTTTTATTTCATAAGAAGCAAATACTTAGGAGAGTTGGAGGAAAAGAAATGATAAGAATATATAAACACTGTCTTCATATTCTCTGTTCCCACCCCCCAGTCCAAATCAACTGATTTTAAAACCAAATGCCACAATAATAATAATAGTAAAAGCATACCTGCATTAGATTAAATCTTGCCACTTCATTAATAGGAGCATCAGAAATTATGCCATACTGTTCTGGATTGACAACTGCAGGACAAATAAAGCAAGCCAAGAGGAGATCAGTACACATTGCCCTGACCTCTCCGACTTCCAGTCTGTCTACACAGGAAAGAGTTTTGTACATTTGTGACACAATCCACCTCAAACTATGTGGAAAGCAATATGTATTCTGTTTGAGATAACCAATAAATTTGTTCACCAACGTCACCAGTTTGGCTTCATTGGATTCCACCATCTCTTGAACCTTTTGCCTAAATCTATCTGAGCCTTTCTCTCCAAAGAGTTTTTCCTGTTGATAAGGGGAGAATCTTTCAATTAACTTGTTTGGATCTGTTTCCAGGTGATCTTCATCTTCAACAAGCAGTTGCATGATTGGCTCGTGTAAAGTAGCTGTGAGGAAAAGTTTGGCAGAAAAGAGTCCCTCGGAAAAAAGTTTAAATAAGATGCTGAAGGCACAAGTTCCTCTCCTCAAAAGTCGCCTGGGGTTGTCACTTTCTTTAAGTTCAAATTCAATCAAGTATCGCAAAACCTGAAGGAGGTAGCTTTCATCTTCTTGCATAATACAATTGCCATATAGAGAGGTAAAAACTGTGTAAATAACACTTTGTGTGTTCTCCTGATTAAGTTTTTCTCCAGCAACCAAAGAGGAGGCAATAAGACGAGGATTCTCCCTTAATCTACTCAAGAATTCTCCATAAGCAGTCTCCTGAAATCCTAACTGCTTATAACCATCAACAAACTGTGTATCTTCCAAAATCTTGGCATGCTGGCAACATTCAGCAGGGGAAGCTTCAGCACTAAAAAAATAAGCAAATAAGCAAAATAATATCAATAGCAATAATAATATAAGACACGTAGTATACAGAAACATGAAACTATGAGTTGATTGTAGTCCCCACCTAAAGATCACTAAAACCTGCTAAAATCTTTTTTTTTTTAATATTTTTTAGTTGTACACGGACACAATATCTTTATTTATTTATTTCTATGTGGTGCTAAGGATCGAACCCAATGGCTCACGCATGCTAGGCAAGTGCTCTAGCTGAGCCACAACCCTGCTAAAATCTTTTAGAACAATAGCATATGAATTAGTAAATATAAAACTATAAAGTACAAAGGAGTCTAATTTCTTCATATAAAATCAAGCTCAATGAAAAATATCAATTTGAAGGTTCTAACAACTATTACCCAGAGATGCACCCTATTAATTTAAAAATTAATTAAAAAATTCGGCCAGGATAGTGGCAATGCCTGTAATCCCAGCAGCTTAGGGATCTGAGGCAAGAGGATCATGAGTTCAGGGCCAGCCTCAGCAACTTAGTGAGGTCCTCATCAACTTAGTGAGAACTTGTTTCAAAATAAAAAATAAAAAGGACTGGAGACATGTCTCATTGGTAAAGCACTCCTGGGTTCAATCCCCTGTATGATTAAAAAAAAAAAAAAAACTGCTAGTTAAATACTGCTTATTTATGGTTATAAACACAAGAAAGTGTACAAATATTCAAGTACTGGGCTAGGGCTGTAGCTCAGTATTAGAGCACTTGCCTACCAAGTGTGAGGCACTGTGTTCGATCCTCCACACCACATAAAATAAATGTATTGTGTCCATTTATAAAAAAAAAAAATTCAAGTACTAAAAAGTGATCAAAACTAAGTCTATGTGTGGTATATTGTACAACCTTTTTCAACAGCAATCTATACTTCAACCAGGATTTTTACTTCTGGAAGCAAATCTTAATAAAATAAGCCTTCAAGAGGATGTAAAAATTGTCAACAACGTTTATAGCAGCACACATTCCCCCAACTTACCTTTATTGAGGTAAAATACAACAAAGTGCCTAAATCTCAAGTGCATAGGTTGGTTGATTTTTATGTATGTATGCACCCAACACTCGGATTAAGATGTTAACAGTCAGATGCAATGGTACATACCTGTAGTCCCAGCTACTTGGGAGACTGAGACAGGAGGATTACTTGAGCCCAAGAGTCTGAGACTAGCCTGGGCAACATAGCCAAACCCCATCTCAAAAACAAAGCAAAACAAACTAAAAAAAAAAAAAAAGTACCGTGTTGGTGGGGCCTTGTGCATATGAGGCAAACACTCTACCAACTGAGCTATATCCCCAGCCCAAAATGTACCATTTTAAGCACCCAAAGTATGCTTTTACATGCCCATTCCTAATCAATACTATCCTTGCAAGTCCAAGAAATAACCATTATTCTGATTTCCATTATCAAAGATAAGTCCTGTCTCTTTTTGAATTTCAAAATGAAATTTTTTTATATCTGACTTCTTTAAGATTATACCTCAGCACTATTGAAATTATGGGGATTGAACCCAGGGGCAATCTACCTATCACTGAGCTACATTCCTAGCCCTTTTTACTTTTTGAGACAGGACCTCCCTAAATTGCCCAGGCTAGCCTCAACCTTGTGATTTTCCTGACTCAGTCTGCTGAAATGCTGGGATTACAGGTGTGTATCCAACAACATTCCTATTCTTAGAATTAAAAACTGCTTCTGGGAACAACAAAACATTGAGAGATTAACACAATGAAATATGTGGTTTCTAAACCTAAAATATACATATAAAATATCAAAACATGGAAGTGTATATATTAAATAATATTATGAGAAAAGTAGAATACAAGGTAATTTACTCTCTACAAAAATAAAATATCATATGTATAAACACAAAATTAATTAGTGTAGTATAAAATCTTAATACTGGGGCTGGAGTTGTGGCTCAGCGGTAGAATGCTCCTCTCGCATGCGCGGGACCCTGGGTTAGATCCTCAGCACCATGTAAAAAATAAATGAGTGAAATAAAGATATTGTGAATAAATATTTTAAAAATAAAACAAAATGTTAATCCTTAGTTATAATTTTCTGAAGCAGTACTTAATAAAATAAACTACGTTATAAGCAAAGACTCAACATTGATTCAAACTATCTTTAACCGTGCACTTGATTGGAAATAGACTGTTAGTTACAATTAGCATAGAATTACAGTGGTTCACAGAATTTCTAACCTGAAAATATTTTCTTTACCTGGTTATGATAAGCCGATCCAAATTAATTCTCTGTTGCTTTGCAATCCATGCTGTACGATACAACTTTTCAGCTGTCTTAAGTACATCGGCATTGAGCCTCTGAATGAGCTGTTTCTCAGAGTTTACATATAAGCGCTCCTGCTTGAGGTGATGTGCCAAAGTATGAATATCGAGCTTCACCATTTTCAAAGGTGAAAAAGGTATAAAAATCAATCACTAAAAGTAAAAGAATAAAATTTAAGTTGGTCACGTAAACCCTCTTCTAAAATCAAAAGGGGTGGGAGAATATACTAAGATTTAGATTACACTTAGTAACACTATTAACTCTAATTTTTAAAATAATCTATATATTTTTATTACAGAAGCTTTAAAGGTTTAGTTTTTAAAATTGGTAAGCACAGGTAAGAAAAAAGAAAGAAAAAGTTCCTAATAAGATCATTGCTCAGAGACAGCTTCTGCAAACACTGTTAAGTCCAGTATCTACCTACTACCCTGAAGTCATCCTTGACCATGCTCTTTCACATCACAATCAACACATTCTGTTGATTCTGTCTTCAAAATATAACTCAAATCTGACTATGCCCTGCTTCCACTGCTAGCCAACCACCATCTCTCACCTGGAGGTCTATGATCACCACTTCCTAACTCACCTCCCTGTTTCTTGTTTTGAACATTTGGAGTCTGTTCTCTTCATAGGGTTAACTCAGATCACTTTATCCAGCAAGAAACCATCTGAAGACTTTACCTTACATTTAGAATGAAATATGAAGGTCCTACCTGATCTCCCCCAGCTATTTCTCCAGTCCCATCTTCATCATTCCACCCTAGCTCATGCAGCTCCAGACATACCTGCCACTTTGCTGTCTTCTGAACAGGCCAAGTTGCCCCTCCCTCAAAGCCTCCACATTTGCTGATCCCTGTCCAGAAGGTATTTCTTCCAGATAGCTCCAAGACTAGTGCTTTCACTTCACACAGGTTTCTCTTGCTTAAATATTTTCTTAGGCCTATCCAAACAACTGTTTCTAATATAGAAAAGATTACTTCCTAAAAGCACTTGCCCCTAGCTGGCATTCTGCTACAGACATGTACTTGCATGTTAGTCAAACTTATTGGATGGCTTCTCTGCTAAACAGTAAATCCCACCAGAGCCAGGACTGAATAAATAGTTGCCAAAGATATAAATGAAATCACATAAATTTTGTCTGTCTTGTGGCTAAACAAATAGCACATGTATTTTAAAGCATTATTATTTAAGATATACTCTTGAACCTAGAATGTCTGACTAATGTTTGTATCAATAATAGAAACATCTATTACACAGATCACAGAAAACAATGTTGTGTGTCCAGAAATGCATTAAAAATGAAACATACTGGTCATGATGGTGCATGTAATCCTAGCGACTCAGGAGGCTGAGGCAAGAAGATTGCAACTTAGTGAGGCCCTAAACAACTTAGTGAGACTCTGTCTCAAAATAATAAAAAGGGCTGGGGATGTAGCTCAGTGGTAAAGCGCTCCTGGGTAAATCTCCAGTACCGAAAAAAGAAAGAAAAACGAATATTTGCCGGACATAAAGAAGATGGTGGGCAGGTAAACTTCTGAAGAAACAAACAAGCAAAGGCATGCAGTATAACAAAGTACATTCGGAGGGGCTGGGGATTTATCTAGTGGTAGAGTGGTTGCCTAGCATGCATAAGGTTCTGGGTTCCATCCTGAACACTGCAAAAAATAGAAAAGGCGGGGGTTGTGATAGTACATTTAGAGACCTACACATAGATTGTTATAGCCTGGAGCTATGTGTGTTTCTATGTGTTAAGAGTGAGGACTGGGGAAGGAAGAAAGTCATAAAGAGAGAGAAGGCTACAGGGACAGAGGGTACAAGAAGTTAGAGTTAAGAAACTTGAATTTTGCCTAGAGTTAATGGGAAGAACTTCAAATGAATTAACATGATTAAATTTATATTTGAGACTATAAAAGATGAGGAAGTAGAGCAGGATACAGTGGAGAACAATTGTAATTCCAGCTACTCAAGAGGCTAAGGCAGGAGGATTACAAGTTTCAGTCCAGCCTTGACAATTTAATGACATCGGTCTCAAAAATAAAAAATAAAAAGGGCTGGGAATATAGTTCAGTGGTAGAGCACTCACTTAGTACGCATGAAGTCCCATGTTTGATTCCTAGGACAAGAGAGAAAGGGAAGAGGAAGTGGGGATGAGACTAAATAGAGACTAAGAAACTGTTCAGCAAGGAATGTTGCAGTTGGGCAACAACAACAAAAAAACGGACAAATTTGAGAGAAGTAAGGAGGTAGAAAATCGAAGATTTGCTGACACCTACATATGGAAGTAAGGTACAAATTTCCAACTCTGATAGACAAAGAGGGTGTGGTGTTATTCATTACAACTAAGCACATGAGAAAATACTTTATAAATAGAAAATTGTTCCTGGTGTAATTCAAAGTTCTTAGAACTTTGCACAATATCCCTGAGACAGGTACTTTATAGCTAAGGAATCTAAGCCCAGGGGTATTAAGAAACTTGTATACCACATAGGTGAGATATGAGAGCACCAATACATGATTATTATTACTTTGATCTCTACATATGCCTTGAACAACTTTCCATCACTTGAACTCAATTATATTAATTATAAAAAAAAATACTCTTCTCCCCTGAAAACACAATCTCTCAAAAACCCTTTCTTGTTTTCCAATTTTTTTCTACATCTGTTCTTCCTGTAGAATCTCAGTGTATCTCCAGCCAGCATTCTTCTTCATACTGTGTCATTTGACACTTAAATTCCATCCTTGTAGCATACTTGTGTCTCAATTATTTAACACCCCACCAAATGAATATATTTAAAGCACTTACCACAATTATGTTACTTTTCTTCTGCTTTCAACATTTTCAATGGTTTTCTATTACTTTCAAGTAAACAGCTCAGTATTTAGGTATATGGCATTTACAGCCTTCTGAAGCCTAGTCCCAAATAATCTACCAGCCATTGCTCCATTATATGAATCTTTTAACTTCACAAAAATCTTTTACTTGATAACCTAACAAAACCCTTTTTTAGTGACCTTGCATGCTCCTACATTTCTGCAGTATTAACATGAAAATCAAACATGCCCTGCACTATACCCCTCTATTGCCCTGACTGCTATTTAAATATCTTACTAACTCATATTTCTCACATGTTCACATCCTATCACCTTCTGAAAATAGATAAGACTTTCAGGCTAAAATACCTAATATTTTAGCCACTAGACACATGAAATTATTGAATTAAAATTAAAAATGTAGGGCTGGGACTGTGGCCCAGTGGCAAAGCGCTTGCCTTGCAAGAGGCACTGGGTTCGATCCTCAGCACCACATAAAAATAAATAAAATAAAGCTACTGTGTCCATCTACAACTAAAAAAAATTTTCTTAAAAATTAAAATTTATGGGCTGGGGATGTGGCTCTAGCAGTAGTGTGCTCGCCTGGCATGCGTGCGGCCCGGGTTCGATCCTCAGCACCACATACAAAGATGTTGTGTCCGCTAAAAACTAAAAAATAAATATTAAAAAATTCTCTCTCTCTCTTTAAAAAAAATTAAAATGTATGAGGGGCTGGGGTTGTAGCTCAGTGGTAAAACATTGCCTCGCATGTGTGAGGCACTGGGTTTAATCCTCAGCACCACATAAAAATAGATACTGTGTGTTCATCTACAACTAAATAAATATTTTTAAAAAATTAAAATGTATAATACATGGAGCTGGGGCTGTAGCCCAGCATCAGAGCACTTGCCTAGCATGTGGGAGGCACTAGGTTCGATCCTCAGCAGCACATAAGAATAAATAAATAAAATAAAGGTATTGTGTCCAAATATAACTAAAAAATATATTTTAAAAACCTTATAAACATGTATAATACACATTTTTTATTTATTAATATTTTTAGTTGCAGATTGGCACAATACCCTTATCTTATTTATTTCATTTTGAGACAGGATCTCACTAAATTACTGAGGATGTCCTCAAACTTGCAATCCTTCTGCCTTGGTTTCACAAGTCACTGGGATCACAGGCATGCACAACCATGCCTGGCAAATTCAACTTTCATAAAACATTTTAGTTGAATTTAAATCCAGTCTCATAGTCATACTAGCCACCATTTCCATTACTAAAGGACCACACATACCTAGCAGTCACTATATAAGCAGTGCAGACAGAACACTTCCACATCACAGAAAATTCTACTGAATAGCACTGCTCTAGAGCACAAATAATGTCTGAATCATCTCTGAACTCAAAAAAAAAAAAAGAAAGAAAAGTATCTTGCACAGAGTAAGCACATTAAAAATTACCTGTTTCTTTTATTTCAATTCAATACAAGCAAGCTTACTTTGCCAGATTAATATTCATATAAGCTTTTCTATTATACCAGCAAAATTATTCCTAGCATTCTTTTATTTTTTTAACTCAGAGTACTGTAATTTTTTTTTCAGGGGGTGGAGAGTATCAGGGATTGAACCCAGGGGTGCTTAACTACTGAGTCTTATCCCCATCTCTCTTTATTTTGAGAAATGGTCTAAGTTACTGAGGCTGGCTTTGAACTTGTGATCCTCCTGCTTCAACCTCCCCAAGAGCTGGGATTACAGATGTAAACCACCACACAAGGCAATTCAAGAGTCTTGATGGGCTCTTGACTGAGGGAAAAAAGAAACAAAAACCATTTTGGTGACACCAGAGAAATCTTAATATGGATTAGATATCTGTATTTAAAAAATAGTGTTGATTTTATTATATATGACACTGGTATTATGGTTTATACAGGAAACTATTGTACTTTTAAGAAATGCACTCAACAGGATGTGATGGCACACACCTGTAAACCCAGCAATTTGGGAGGCTGAGGAGGAGGATCACAAGATCAAAATCAGCCTCAGCAATTTAGTCAGGCCCTAAGCAATTCAGTGAGACCCTGTCTCTAAATAAAATATAAAAAATAGGGCTGGGGATGTGGTTCAGTGGTTGAGTGCCCCTAAATTCAATCCCCAGTACCAAAAAAAAAAAAAAAGTAAAATAAAAAGTTTTTTTTTTTTTAATTAGCAAAATGTTAAATGAGTTGTGGGTATATTGTTGAATACTGTTGAAATGAGTAGTGGGTATATGGTGATTACTGTACTAATCTTCAAGTTTTTATGTTAGAAAATTTTTATAACTAGAAGTAGGAGCTAGGCCTGGTGGTACGTACTATAATCTCAAATACCTGAGAGGCAGAGGCAGAGGCAGGAGGATTCTGAGGCAGAGGTCAGCCTGGACAACTTGGAGGGCCCTACCTCAAAAAAATAAAAATAAAAAAGGCTGGGGATGTGGCTCAATGATACAGTGCCCTGAATTGCAAACCTCCTGCCTTAGCCTCCTGAGTGGCTGGGATTATACAGACATGCCCCACAGCACATACTTGGATTAATACTTGGAATCCTATTTTGTTTAATAAATGGCACATGCCTCATTACAATGATATTATACCTTTCTCCATTGCTCCCAGTAGACTAAACTCAGGATAAAGGCTAACTCAACTTGAGGGCTGAGGTTATGGCTCATTGGTAGAGCACATGCTCAGCACATGTGAGGCACATGTTCAATCTTCAGCAACATATAAAAATAAGTAAACAAACAAATAAATAAATAAAAGTATTTTTAAAAAAATAACTCAGCACCCTAGTAGTTAATGATAGACAGAAGTTCAGAAATGTTAACTGAACTCAATTCAGCTAGTACCAAATCTACTGGCTTGCACAATTTGAAAAAAAAAAAATACATAAAACATATAACAATAGCAAACAGGTTATTTTTTGAAAACAACAGTTAGAGGGATGGGGATGTACTTCAGTGGTAGAGTACGTGTGTAGCATGCTAGGCACTAGGTTCAATCCCCACCACCAAAAAATAAAAACAAAAAACGTTAAGGAAAAGGGTTTGCTGGGTACCCAGGTGAAATTCCATCTACTAAAGAGGCTGAGGTGGGAAATCACAAGTTTGAGGCCAGCCTGGGCATCTAATCAAGAAACTGTTAAAATTAAAAAATGAGGCCCATGTGGTGGCCCATACTGTAATCCCTGTGACTCAGGAGGCTGAGGCAGGAGGACTGCAAGTTCCAGGCCAGCCTCAGCAACTTAGCAAGGTCCTATGCAACTTAGTTAGATCCTGTCTCAAAATATAAAATTAAAGGGACCGGGGATGTGGCTTTGTGGTTAAATACACTTGGGTTCAATCCTCAATACAAAAGAAAGAAGAGGGCTGGGATACAGATCATTAGTAGGGCACCCCTAGGTTTAATTCCTAGTACCATAAGTTAATTAATTTTGTAAAACTGCTAGGGATGTAGCTCTGGTGGTAGAACATTTGCCTAGCATGTGCAAGGGCCTGGGTTCAATCCCCAATACTGCAAAACCAAATAAATAAATAAAATTGCTTTACTCTTCTAGAATACCACTTAAAACACAAGAGAATTTAATAGTCATAAATTAAGGAATAGCATAAATAAAATATAGACATAAATAACTAAAAGTAGAAAAAATTTACCATACTGAAGAAACAGGAAAGCAGAGACAACTGGCAAATAAATTAGTTTTTTTAAAAGTGGCACATGCCTGTAATCCCAGCGACTCAGGAGTCTGAGGCAGAAGGATCAAAAGTTGAAACCAGTCCAGGCAACTTTGCAAGACCCTTTGTAAAAATTATAAATGAAAAGGACTGGAAGGATGGGGGATGTAGTTCAGCGGTAGAGTGACCCAGGGTTCAATCTGCAATACAGAAAAAAAAAATGTAAAAATATCAGAATAACAATAACATCAAACTAACATTTCTTTAGACTAATTATGTCAAGAATTCTGCTGTTTTTCCTTGGGGAACTCTCACAAACCTGTGTCATCTCATTATCTTCGTCTGGCAGTTTAGGAAGACGATGACACAAGTAGTTAAGTAGCCAAGTAAAGACTCAAACAATTCAATTTTTACTCCAAAGATGCACTTGCTCTCAACCAACGAACTTAAGCATTATGTCAGCAATAAAAACTGACTCCTGAAAGTTTTTGTTTGTTTGCTTTTTACTATCAGTTTTTACAGAACTTTGGGTTCTGGCAATATCTACATCACTTGAGTTTTCCCTCAAATACAATATGAATTGGCAAAGAGGTAAAGAAAATTGAACCCTTGCACACTGTGGGTGAGAATGTAATTTTGTATAGCCACTATGGAAAACAGTGTGAAGGTTCCTCAAAAGATAAAAAATAGAACTACTACATGATCCAGCAATCTCATCACTAAGTATATATCCAAAGGAAGTCAATATAGCCAATAATATATTTGTACTTCCAAGTTTACTGCAGCATTATACACAATGGCCAATATATGGAATCAACTAAGTGTCAATCAATACACGAATGGACAAAGAAAATGTGGCATATATACACAATGGAATATGAATGAAATTTAACCATGGGAAAAAAAAAAAAAGCTGGGGGGGGGTGTGGTACACACCTGTAATCCCAGACACTGAGGTGGCTGAGGTAGGAGGACCACAAGTTCAAGGTCAGTCTCAGCAATTTAGCAAGTTGAGACTTAGTGAGACCCTGTCTCAAATTAGAAAATTTAAAAAAGAAAGGAGGACTGGGGTTGTGGCTCAGTGGTAGAGCACTCATTAGGCACATGCGAGGCACTGAATTCGATCCTCAGCACCACATAAAAATAAATAAATAAAAATAAAGGTACTGCACCCAACTACGACGGAAGGAAGGAAGGGAGGGAGGGAGGGAGGAAGGAAGGAAGGGGACTGGGGATGAAGCTCAATGGTAAAGAACCCTGAGTTCAATCACCAGTATGGGGTAAGTGAAATCCCCTCATTTGCAACAATATGGATGGAACTGGAGATCATTATATGAAGTGAAATAAGCCAAGCACAGAAAGACAAGTACCACATAATCTCATGTGGAATTTTAAAAAATTGATCCCCAGCCCTCATATGAACTTAAATTCTTTTTTCTTTACTTGCAGTGCTAGAAATTGAATCCAGGGTCTTAAGCATGCTAGGCAAACACTGTACCAATGAACTACACCCATCAACCTCAAATAGTTTTAACATCCTAATATGAAACTAGAATCTCAGAATTGGAAAAGCTATTAAAAACTATCTTCTATTGCCAGGCACAATGGTACACCCCTGTAATGCCAGCTACTTAGGAGGCTCAGGTAGAGAAAGGCAAGTTTGAAGCCAGCCTAGACAACTTAGTGAGACTCTGTCTCAAAATGAGATAAAATAAAGGACTGGGGATGTACCTACATGGTAAAACACTTGCCAACATATGTGAGGCTCTAGGTTCAATCTCCAGTATAGCAAAAGACAAAACCAAAATAAAACAAATAGTGCTGGGGTTGTGGCTCAGTGGTAGAGTGCTTGCCTAGTATGCATGAAGCAGTGGGTATGACTTTCAGCACCACATATAAATAAAGGTCCATTGAAACTACAAAAATATTAAAAACAAACAAAGCAAACCCAACATCTTGTCCAATTTAATTCAATTCAACAAACATTTTCTAAATTGTTTCACTATGACAAACCTTGATAACATAGTTCAGAACAAAAAGACACAACCACTGTTCTCATAAAGAATAAATACCCAGCTTTGGGGCTGGAGCTGGGACTCAGCAGTAGAGCACTCGCCTAGCACATGCGAGGCCCTGGGTTCGATCCTCGGCACTACATAAAATAAGTAAAAGGAAGGTATTGTGTCCAACTACAACTAAAAAATAAATATAAAAAAAAAAAGGAATACTCAGCTTCTAAGTCAGAAGCAAGTAAATTATGAAAAGGGGAAATAAGAGTCTAACATTCAAAAATCTCCAAAACAAAACACAACAATATCCCTTCTAAAACCAGCAATTGTTTCGGACCTTCTTATTTTGGTCATGGCACAGACTCCTCAAACACATCTTTGTTCTCAGCAGTAAATCTGCCATCAAGTTCAACTCTCTGTCCTCAACTTTCTAATTCCTCTGCAAATAACCAAATTCATTACCATGACAACTGAAAAAATTTCCTAATGTGTACTCTTCTTGGTTTCTTCTCTCTCCAATCCATCCCACATTGGCAGATTAGTATTTCCAAAACATCTCTAATATAAAACTTCCCAATCCTTCCCAAGACCCCTTTAAAATCCATTGACTTCCTAATAGTGTCAGAATATATTAAAACATCTGCAGATGTCAGCTGGGAGTCTGTGTGCTCAATTAAGGTTGCCCCTTAATTAAATCTCTTTGTTCCCAATAATAGAAATTAAATGGAAACCCCAGAAAACTCTGAGTGTATTTGGCAAGAAAATCCCTCTGCTTTTTCTCACCCCCTCACCAAGACCACCAAAACCTACTCTGGCCCAATCAGGTCTAAGGTCTAAAATTAGCCTGCCTTTACTTATTTTCATGTCCTCCACCCAAGAAGCCCAGAAATCCCAATACTTCATCCTGCAGAACCCAATTCCTAGACAGCTTACCTCCTCTAACCTCACCTCCTGCCCTACTCATCTCTTCCATCCTTTTCAGTTACACTTGCAGCACAAATTCAAAGATCAGAAATTTCCCTGTAACTTGAACCTTTTCTGGAAAGAAACCCATTTACCTTCTTGCTTTAACTGAATCCTGGTTTCTCCACAGGAACATTGCTTCTTTTATACACCTGTCAGGCATAGCTGTTTCCTCTCCCACACCCTTCACTTCACACTCTTACAAGCACTTTCACACCATTCTCTCTTCCTCATTATTAAAAAACCCAGCTTTGGCTCTCATATGATCAGACTGTATTACTGCAGATGCTACAATCTTTCCTTACACCCCCAATCACCAACAGTCACATGACCCTACCATGACTTTCAGGTTGTTAATCCTACCACCTTTTTAAATTCACCCCTCCCTCTCTTACCTACTAACATAAATCGAATGGCAAATATTTTATTTTTTTTAATTTGTTCAGATTAGTTATACAAGACAGTAGAATGCATTTTGACACATTGTACACAAATGGAGCACAAGTTCTCATTTCTCTGGCTGCACACATTGCAGTCACACCATTTGTGCAATCATACATGTACACAGGATAATAATGTCTGTCTCATTCCACCATCCTTCCCACCCCCACACCCCTTCTCCTCCCCCCTGCCCAATCCAAAGTTCCTCCATTTTTCTCTACCCATCCAGTTACCCATTATGAATAAGCATCTGCTTATCAGAGAAAACATTCAGCCTTTGGTTTTTTGGGATTGGCTTATTTGCTTAGCATGATATTCTCCAGCTCCATCCATTTACCTGCAAACACCATGATTTTGTTCGTAATATTCCATTGTGTATATTTTCTTTATCCATTTATCTGTTGAAGGGCATCTAGGTTGGTTCCATAGTTTAGCTATTCTGAATTGAGCTGCTATCAACATTGATTTAGCTGTATCACTGTAGTAGGCTGATTTTAAATCCTTTGAGTATAAACCAAGGAGGGGGATAGCTGGGTCAAACGGTGGTTCCATTCCAAGTTTTCTGAGGAATCTCCAAACTGCTTTCCATAGTGGTTGCATCAATTTGCAGTTCCACCAGCAATGTATGAGTGTACCTTATTCCCCACATCCTCACCAACATTTATTATTGCTTAGATTCTTGATAACTGCTAAAGACAAACATTTTAATCACTTTCTTGAATGATGCACACCCTCAATTTGCCCCTCACTATACCACAATCCCAGTAAAATCCAATGCTCTGCCTTATTGACACCTGTGGATAGGAAAACACACATACACTTGGTCTCACTAACATCACTTTCAATTCATGAACATAAACTCCAGATGGAACTTCACTGCTGCACAGCATGCACACTCTTACACAGTTCATCCACCGCTCTCCTCGTCTCCAGTCAGTAAATTCATATCATCCTCTCCACAAACCCAATACCTCTTTATTCTCCACAAATCCAACATCATTATTCTCAACTCTTTGATTTCTACCTAAGAAAACTGAAGCAACAAGATTTCCCACAGTACCATATACATATATGTATGCATACACACACACACACATTTGTACATGTGTGTGTTTGTGTGTGTGTATGGTGAGCTCTCTTTTACTCTGAATGAACTGCCTTGCCTTTGCTGGTCAAAACCAACCCTTTTGCCGGGCACAGTGGAGCACGCCTATAATTCTAGCAGCTCGGGAGGCTGAGGCAGGAGGATCACAAGTTCAAAACCAGCCTCAGTAAGAATGAGGTGCTGAGCAACTCTATGAGATCCTGTGTCTAAATAAAATACAATAGGGCTGGGGATGTGGCTCAGTGGTCAAGTGCCCCTCAGTTCAATCTCTTGTACACATACACACACACACACACACACACACTTGGAGCACCCCAAGGCTAGACACTCAGACCTCACTCTTTTCTTTCTATACACTGCCCAGGTAATCTCATTCAGTCTCATGGTTCTGCCATCAAAATACTGATGACAGAGGCTGGGGCTGGGGCTCAGCAGTGGAGCACTTGCCTAGCATGCACTAGGTCCTGGGATAGATCCTCAGTACCACGTAAAAATAAAGGTATCGTGTCCAACTACAACTAAAAAATAAATATTAAAAAAAATACTGGGGGGCTGGGGATGTGGCTCAAGTGGTAATGCGTTCGCCTGGCATGCACGGGGCACTGGGTTCGATCCTCAGCACCACATAAAAATAAAATAAAGATATTGTATCCACCAAAAACTAAAAATAAATATTTTAAAACTCTCTCTTTAAAAAAAAAAGAAAAGAAAAGAAATACTGGGGCTGGGGCTGTAGCTCAGTGGCAAAGTGCCTGCCTAGCATGCGTGAGGCACTGGGTTCGATCCTCAGCACCACATAAAAATAAATAAAATAAAGGCATTCTGTCCATCTACAACTACAAAAAAAAAATTTTTTAAATACTGATGATAGTCAGGCATGGTGGCGCATACCTCTAATCTCAGTGACTTGGGAGGTGGAAGGAGGAGGATTATAAATTCAAAGCCAGCTTCAGTAATTTAGTAAGATTTTGTCTCAAAATAAAAAAATAAAAAGGGCTGGGGATATAGCTCAGTACTAGGATACTCTAGTTCAATCCCCAATACTGGGGCAGGGGAGGGGGACTGACAACTCGCCAATTAATTTCACCAGTCTTAAACTTTTATCCTGAATACCAAATCTGTACATGCAACTGCCTACTCGGCATCTCAAACTAAACGTTCAAAATGAAACTCTCTCCTCCTGCAAAAAACTCCCCATCCCCACCCCAAAACCCAGCCTTCTTCATCTCTATCAACGGCAATTCCCTTCTTCCAATTGTTCAGACCAAAAAATTGTGTCATCATTTTTACTCCTTTTCCTTGTTCCCTGCATATTTTGTCTAGACAAGATTGTCCTTTGGTGGATGAGGGGAAAAAAAAAAGTGAACAGTAATAAAATTATCTTTAAATGTTAATTAAAATAAATGTACTATACTGAAAACATTAAAAATCACATCTGTGAGTTTCATGAAAGACTTAAAGGAAAAATGGTGCTCATAATTTTTAATCATTCCTTACATTCAAGAGGATAATTTCCAATTCCTTAGCTTAGTGTTCAAGGCCCAATCTTCCTTGGCCCACCCCTCCAATCCTATTTTACACTATTTCCTTACATTAAAACAGTTGAGTAAGACAGGCCTTCTCATTTTTTTTTACTATTTTATTTTAGTCCTTTGGGTATAGACCGAGGAGTGGGATAGCTGGGTCAAATGGTGGTCCTATTCCCAGTTTTCCAGGGATTCTCCATACTGCTTTCCATATTGGCTGCACCAATTTGCAGTCCCACCAGCAATGTATGAGTGTGCCTTTTTCCCCAAATCCTCTCCATCACTTACTGTTGTTTGTATTCTTAACAGCTCCCATTCTAACTGGAGTGAGATGAAATCTTTTTTTTTTTTTCTAAAGAGAGAGAGAGAATTTTTAATATTTATTTTTTAGTTTTTGGCGGACACAACATCTTTGTTTGTATGTGGTACTGAGGATCGAACCCGGGCCGCGCGCATGCCAGGCGAGCGCGCTACCGCTTGAGCCACAGCCCCAGTACCAAGATGAAATCTTAAGAGTAGTTTTGATTTGCATTTCTCTAATTGCAAAAGATGAACATTTTCTCATATATTTGTTGATTGACTGTATACCACCTTCTAAGAAGTGTCTGTTCAGTTTCTTGGCCCATTTATTGATTTATTTGTTTTGTTGTTGTTTTTGTTTGGTTGGTTGGTTATTTTTTTTTTTTAAGAGAGAGAGAGAGAGAATTTTAATATTTATTTTTTAGTATTCGGTGGACACAACATCTTTGTTTGTATGTGGTGCTGAGGATTGAACCTGGGCCGCACGCATGCCAGGCGAGCGCGCTACCACTTGAGCCACATCCCCAGCCCCCGCCCCCCTTTTTTTTTTTTGGTGTTAAGATTTTTTTAGTTCTTTCTATATCCCAGAGATTAGTGCTCTATCTGATGTGCATGTAGTAAAAATTTGTTCCCTATTGTAGGCTCTCTATTCACTTCACTGATTGTTTCTTTTGCTAAGAAGAAGCTTTTTAGTTTGAATCCATCCCATTTATTGATTCTTGATTTTAATTCTTGTGCTATAGGAGTCTTATTAAGGAAGTTGGGGCCTAATCCCACATGATGAAAATTAGGGCCTACTTTTTCTTTTAATAGGCGCAGTGTCTCTGGTTTAATTCCTAGGCCCTTGATCACTTTGAGTTTTGTGCATGGTGAGAGCTAGGAGCTTAATTTCATTTATATATATACATATATATATATATATATATATATATATATATATATATATATATATGATGTTGATGGACCTTTATTTTATTTGCTTATTATATGTGGTGCTAGGAATCGAACCCAGTGCCTCACACATATGAGGCAAGTGCTCTATTGCTGAGCTACAACTCCAGCCCCTTAATTTCATTTTGTTGCATATGGATTTCTAGTTCTCCCAGCACCATTCGTTGAAGATGCTATCTTTTCTCCAATGAATGTTTTTGGTGCCTTTGTCTAATATAATATAACTGTAATTATGTGGGTTAGTCTCTGTGTCCTCTATTCTCATGCCATTGGTCTACAAGTCTATTTTGGTGCCAATACCATGTTGTTTTTGTTACAACATTGCTCTGTAGTATTATTTAAGGTCTGGTATAGTGATGCCACCTGCTTCATTCTTCTTACTAAGGACTGCTTTAACTATTCTGGGTCTCTTAATTTTCCAGATGAATTTCATGACTGCTTTTTCTATTTCTATGAGGAATGTCACTGGGATTTTGATTGGAATTGCATTAAATCTGTATAGTGCTTTTGGAAGTATGGTCATTTTGACTATTAATTCTGCCTATCTAAGAACAAGGTAGATCTTTCCATCTTCTAAGGTCTTCTTTCTTTCTTTAGTGTTCTATAGTTTTTCAAGTTGATTCCCAAGTATTTTGTTTTATTTTTTTTTTAGGCTATTGTAAATGGGGTAGTTTTCCTCATTTTCCTTTCAGAGGATTTGTCACTGATATACAGAAATGCCTTTGATTTATAAGTATTGATTTTATATCCTGCTACTTTGCTGAATTTATTTACTAGTTCTAGAACTTCTCTGGTGGAATTTTTTGGGTCTTCTAGGTATAGAATCATATCATCAGCAAACAGTGCTAATTTCAGTTCTTCTTTTCCTATCTGTATCTTTCGTCTGTTTAATTGCTCTGGCCAGTGTTTCAAGAACTATGTTAAATACAAGTGATGAAAGAGGGCATCTCTGCCTTAATATTTATTAAGTTTTTAGAGGGAATGCTTTCAATTTTTCTCCATTTAGAATGATGTTGGCCTGGGGCTTAGCATACCCATTTTTATTTTCAATTCAACTTCATGTTTATATCAGGCCCATCTAATCTACATCCTCTAATTTCCAAGCCCTAACTCAATAAAACCTTCCTCCCCTCCCATACAGGCTATCCCCCAGTGACAAATCCCAATTCTGAACTCATGAAGCACTCACTATTCATATCACTAACTTGACACTGGTTCTATTTTTTTTTCCATCTGTAGTTTCTACATCCTATCTTTTCAGCAAGAAAGAAGGTCTCTTCAAAGTCTGAGAGCGTATCTTAGACCTATGAGTTTTGCCCCATCCAAATATCATGGCCAAACACAAGAAATTCTTAATACGCATCTGCTTAGACTTGCATTGTCACAAACTGCTGTGGAAAAAGAGCATGAATAATATCAAGGAATTTTAAAATGAACACTAGGTATACCTAAAAATAATATATAATTTTTCCTAAAATTTGTAAGCATTTTTCTGATTAGTGGACGGGTACTAGGGATTGAACCCAGGAGTGCTTTACCGCTGACCGCTGAGCTATATCCCAGTCCTTTTCATTTTGAGGGAGGGTCTCTCTAAGTTGCTAAAGGGCTCATTAAATTGCTGAGACTGGCCTCCAACTTTGATCCTCCTACCTCAGCCTCCTAAACCACTGGGATTACAGGCATGATCCACTAGCTCATTTATTTTTGAAATGGTCAAAAACTAGACTTTGATCACTTAAGTTTAATACCACTTACCACTTTTTCTACAAAAATAAAATAAAGCTAGAGTGGTATAATCCCAGCTATAATTCT